TTTTTWAAMAAWTTCAATGATTTTTAYGCTTTGAAAGAGTTCCCTCGCAGCRCTGGGAAACCCAYAGATTTTACTGGAATGAGGGTGTGGAGTCTGTTGTTTTCTTTTGATCCCCATGAAGTCCTGGATGTCCTAGTCAAGCGCTGGCATATCTACACTACCTCCATCTGCATTTGGTGTTTTTAATTCCCTAACACTAACTTTCTGAGCCCCGCACGTTATGGGGAATTCTCATCACGTTTTGGGTGAAGAAGTGGCGGATGGCAGAGGTGGGAGACTCCACAGTACATCAGAATAATAGCAAGGTGAACAATTTCTCCACATCCAGCTGACACAGTTCTCTCGTTTTCCAAAAGCTTCTGTGACAGAAAAACAACCAGTATCATAACCTTTTGATGCCTTTTTCACCCATGGACCAAATGTACAGGTACCCATTTACACAAGAGTCATGGTTCACACTCAGTTTTACAGTAACAATAAGATATATTGACAATTCTGCCACAACATCCCCCAAGGAGGCTTTATAAGACCCTTCTGTGTTTCTTCAGGATCAGAAACAGAGAACTAGAAACACCCTGGAAGTGCTGTCCGCATGTTTGTCAGTCTGAGGCAAGGACTTGGTGCTGCAGATCACAACCCCACTTGACGAGCAGCATTAAAGAGCTTCCCCTCGTCACAAAATTCCAGGTGTCATTTACAGCCACGAGGCTGAGACCTCCGCCCACTGAGCTGCTTCGGGAAGCGCTGCTCAAAATAGGGCTCCAGCAGCTCTTGGGATTGCAGGCCCACATTCCAGGGAAGAGGGTGCAGGTGYTTTCCGAGGCAGGGCCTGGAGCACGAGGGAGCACTCCAGGAAGGGTTAATTCACGCGGGAAGTGCAGCTGACATCCCCGCGTCCCAGCCCGTGCAATACGAGTAGCTGGCAGGATTGCAGCCGCATTTCCAGCTGCAATTTCACAAGGCTGTGTGACCAAGGAGTAATTCAGTGCAGCTGCCAGGGTCTCTGCGTATCGATACGCAGCGGTTATTCCGGGCTTTCATGCAGCACTTGCATTGCTCAAATGAGATGACACCAGAACCAGAGCCATCTCCAACCTGGGGCAGTCATTTGGGTGCTCTCTTCCATGCAAGATGCTTCACCATTTGCTTAAGAATGATGTTTTCCCTCTCAAACTATTATTGACTTCCCCCAGTCAATTTAACTAGTCTTGTGTGAGATGCTGGAGGAGAAGGCAGTGCTTCTGAAGAGCATCTACAGCAGCGTGCCCATTAAGTTCATTCTGAATATTCAAAGGCGGATACTGGCAGTTTTGGGCTTCTTCATCCCGCCTGGACCACTCCRGATGGCCATTCGGGAGAGTTTTGTGGTATTGATATGAATTGAGATGTTTTTAGGCTGAGTAACTCTGTGTTTCCAAGTAGAGGAGCTTCATGGCTTTCTCCAAGTGCTTTGTGAGTATGAAATAGAAAGAAATGAAAGAGCTCTCATGGCTTTGGTTGCTTATATATGTGCTGTGCCTATGCACTAACCAGCTATGACGTGCATACCTGTATGTAGGTGTATAYAACATGAAGTTTTAGCTGTGTGTAATAATAGACGCTTGCTAAATAAAAATTTTTGCTTGCAATTTTAATATTAGAGGTAGGAATTCCTGCYGTCTCACACAGAGACTTTCCAAATTTTGTTCCACGCTTGAAAAAGAARAGAAAACACGGGCGGAAGGTCTGAAGTAGCTGCTTAATATTTTGTTCAGCTCCAGCTGTGAAGCGTCATCGAAGGAACATAATGAAAGGATGTCTTAGTAGCCTGATTAATAATACAAATGCACGCGTTAAAATGTATTCCTAGCTGCATGCTGAAGTGGGCACAGTGAGCTCAAATGATAACTGAATTTCCTGTGAATATTCTGTGGAAAGACAGAGTTGATTAATCTCCAAATCTTGGCATATTTGAAGAGCTGGAGCTGCTGCGTGTGATGCCCAGAGCAGAGGGGGCTCCTTGGTTTAAGTGCAGAGTCTTGCCTAAAACATCCACCCTCTTGTGTCATTTACCAGTAGGGCTGTACTGGGAGATGAATGTAGATTTTGCCAGTGTTAGTTTAACTAAGGAAATGTGTCAGAAAAAACCTTGCACAAAGGTCTCATTTGGAAAAAAAAGGACAATGTTCCCTTGTACAATGCAAAGGAAGCGATTGTAATTGTTTACATATAAGCAAATATATATATATTCTATATAATCAGTGAATGTGACACTTCCATGACCTAACAGCAATTGACATTATCGCTTGATAAGGTTGCCATGTCATAGCTGCCAAACACAATGAACACCAATAGCTCTGAATGCTATAATTAATAATGAATGTTATGTATCCACAGCAATGTAAACATTAAATAAACAATAASAACTGACCTCATATTTCATCCTATGGCAGGAAATATTTCAAGTTTCACTTTTATTGTTCATGTGACATAATTTTTGTTTGCACGTGATCTTGTASAAATTTATAAGTACCAGTTGTCCCCCTGGTGTCACCTGCTGTTCTGAGACCCGTTAGGTTAAAATATGACTGAGTCTTTCACTGCATGGATGAAAAGCTGTTTAGAGTTCAGGGGACACTATTCAGAGCATGCAACACGTAGAAGAATCAAAGAACCCTACACGTAAAAGCTGTTGCCACATTCACAGCAGCTAATGAGGCTACTCGGAAAGCCAAAAGGGCTGAGTGTAGTGGTTTGCTTTTATTATTCACCCAGTTACAGTTTCCTAAGTCATAAATAATGGTAATGCAGAGCTTGAACGGTGGCATTCATCACACAAGCAGGTCTGCTCCATTCCACTCGCTCTTCAGATTTATTAAATAGATCTAACAAGGGCATCTACGGCTCTTTTTGTTCCCCCTCAATTTAGATGTTGTGACAACCTGCACATTACCCTGATATACTTGCTGGTCTCAGGTGTGTTGTGAGGGAAGCAGGCAATCAAATTCTATAGCTTCTCAGTCCCCGAGAAGTGTCACTTGTGCTCTCTTCCTCCCACATAGCTCTTTATAAATAAGCCAAAAGAGCTTCGTTGTTGTTCTTTTTTCTTGAATATTTTAAGGTTTATGATGATTTGTTTCCATCTCCATAGCTCATGTCATCACCAATTCCAGGATTCCTCATTCTGTYGTACAATTTAAAAGGTCTGGTAATGCCACTTTGTTTACATCAGGGACCACAATTTTAATGGCTGAAATCAATTTTTATTAATAGATTAGAAGGAGTTCAGGAAATCTGTAAAAGAGGAAAAAATGAAAATGTTCTTTGGCTGATTTCTTCTTTCAGAGGCTTGTTTGAAAGGTTGTGAAAAGATCATTAAATACATTAACTTAGAAGCAAAAATCTAAATTAGTTATATTAATAGGTTTTCACATGTGATTAGTCCTCCTCATTGCAATTAGATGCACATGTTTATGACAATTTGTTCCTCATTGTCACATCTAATATAACTTTGAAACCAGACATAACAATTGYTAACAATATTGTAAAAATATCTGCAATTTAGTTTCAAGATAGAACTGATTTGGTAACTAAAAAGGGGGAAGAAGTAGGGAATACAAGACCAGATGTCTTTCCAAATGCTTCTTGCTGGGGCACGATGTGTTCTCCTCCTGGTATATAATCGATATGTCACACATTGCAGAGATGGGAAGAGAGCTCTGCGCCCATCCCAAATTCCAGGAATAGAGCAAATTGGATTTGCCAGGGAATGCCATGGGCGTTTCTTTGCTTGCTAAGACAGACAAGTGCTTACGGCTTCATTTCATTCCTACTGTGAACCAGATAGTCTGATCTTGTAACCTTTATTCAGGCAGGTAAGTGTTTCCTTCCCACAGCTGAAGATGAGTGTAAATGCAGGGCAAATTGCAGTATTATTACCCRAGGGAAAACGGAAGCGCTGTTTATGCTTTTAAAATGACAGCCTCTGCAGTAGATAAGACATCCATTTAGTGCCTTTTTTAAGTAGYAGCAATTCTGATCTCTGAAAAAACCCACTAGTTGCCAGAATTTGCTGCCCCAGCAGAATATGAACACTCACATTTGGTAAATTAAGTAGGAATACAGAAGTCATTAGTATCTCCGTCCTGCATCACAACAGATGAAAAATGTTGCCCAACAGTGCTCCCCTGAGGTTGCAAGCACCAAGCATTGAACGTGCAACRCGAGCCCCACCAGAATTAACACTGACACCAGGCACTGGACCTTCTCCCAATTACAGAAAAACTAAGATTAATATTCTCCTTGGATCCTATAATGCGGTGCCTGTATAATGGGAACCTCATTGCACCAAATAATGGTGCTTATGAAATGAGTTCCCTTTGCCCTTAACTGGAAGAGCAAATTGCCTAAGTGGATTTTGCTTTATGTTTCACAACTCTCCCGCTCTCCTTCAACTATATGCTCATTTAAAGACCCATTACCTTCTTGTTGATGTAAGGGGGCTATATGTTTGTAGCTGCCATCAACGGYAATGAGAATTGCTTCTGTTAATCTCCTATGTGCTGAGAGCAAGGTAATAATAGCCTAGTTATTAAGTATGAAGGCCAGGATAGGAGTTGCACTGAAAACAAGCAGCATAGGGTCTCTGAGGGATTCACATGTAAATGTTAAAGGATTGCTCTGAAGCACCTGCAATTGATGATTAAAATTAAATTAGTGATAGTATAAACGTGCTCTCCTGATATTTGGCTCCTGCCATTACAAAACAAAAAGACCCTTTCCTATAGGAGTGTTGTTGGACACCAGGAAACCTCCCTCTGCTCCCAGGTGGAGCAAGGGCTCTGCTTTCACTCATCGTTTGAGCCACCTCGGCTGCCTCACCTGAGCRTTCAGAGAAAACTGCTCGTGGACCAAACGTGTGATAAACATTACCGTGCTCAGCTCCATAATTCACTTTTACAAGCAAAATCTGCTGAGAAAAACACAACACTAAGACACAAAGTGCTGGTTTTTCTGTTCAGCACTGAAGGAGCAAGCAGGGACAGSGGAAGCTCACAGCTGAGTTTGGGTCAGTTTTGCTCACTTTGCAAYCAAACAACTGATTTTTCTTGTGACATCTTATAATTTAATATTCTTCATGATGTACAGAGATCTGGATTTCATTGTAAGTTTGTCCTAATAAAATAAAGTATGTTTTAAAGCATCCAGGTGCAAGTCTCTGTGATAGAAAGAGAACCATAATAAGAACCTGAAAGGAGGTTAGAATGAGGCAGGGGGTCGACCTGTTCTCCAAAGCAAGTACCGAAAATAGGATTAGAGGAAACGGTCACAAGCTGCACCAGGGGAGATTCGGGTTAGATAGGAGGAAAAAATTTCTACGTGGAAAGAGTGGTGAAGCGCTGGAACAGGCTGCCTAGGGAGGCAGTGGGGTTATGGAATATGGCAGGGTTCAAGAAAGGGGCAGATGAGGCCCTGAGGGACATGGTTTAACAGGAATAGTGCTGGAATTGATGAACTTGAGGGCTTTTTCCGACCACAACGACCCCAAGGCCGCCGCCGGCGCGGTCACCCCGCTGCCCCCTCATGGGCGCGGGCAGCAGCGGGTTAATGGCGGCGCCCACAAGGCCTCGCGGCGCGGCGGCGACGTCGGCGGCGCCTGCGCGCTGTGGAGCCGGCGGCGCCGCGTCAGGAGCGCCGCGGAGGCCGGTGCGTTGGCGGCTCCCGGCGGGACGGGACGGAAAGGGAAGGGGAGGGGAGGCCCCTTTCGCGGCCCCGCCGCTGCTCCCGGCCCGGACCCCGGGGAGAAGGAGGGGGCTCGCGGGCTGCTTGAGGGGCGCTCGTGCTCGCGGGGCGCGCGACGGCCTCTGCGGACTCGGACCTCCCTCCCCCTGGGGCTCGGACCCACCGGGTCTCGGTCCTGGCACCCCCGGTTTGTGTTTTTGTACAAAAGAAAGCAAAGAAAAGGCGGGCGGGGAGCGCGGGGGAGAGTGCCCAGCTGGCACGGGGCGGGGAGAGCGAGCAGGGGCGGGTTTTGTCCYGGTTGTGCTCACAGGATCTTCTCCCTCTTCTTTCTCTTACCTCTCATTTTATTTTACTTATTTATTTTTTRTTTCTCTTAGGAAAGARGAGCTGATGCGTTCCCTGTGAACCCAGGCCATGTTCTGAGCACCTTTTCCAGGCCCCTTCGGAGAGTGGGGTGTCTCCATTTGCAGCTTTCCAGGGATTTGCCCTCCTTTCATCCTTGGTGAGCCGCTTGGTGAGTTTTCCGTGCTTCTTAGTATGGGAAAGCACCCGCCTTTGAGCGTGGATTGAATGCAGCATCCTGTAAAAAAAAAAAAAAAATGGGGTGTATTTCTAAGGAAATCATGCCTGTGTCCTGTAGTGTTTTCTTCAAAACTGCCTGAAATAATAAGGCTTAAAACTCTTCTTTTTGTATTGGCGAGACCCATAGGAATACTGCAGGCTCATGAAATCAGGCAGATCACTTTGCACAGTTTATCTTCATATGTTGAAAAACTCATTACAGATYACTTGTATGAATTAGCTGCTACATCAGAGGATCAAAGTCCTTTTACAGTTTATTTAAACCTACAGTATGTAGTGCCACATCTGCATTATTTACTTGCTTTTAGCCAACTAAATATTCCTAATGTAGAATTCATGTGGTGCACATAAACTTTTACTRTAGAAGCTGATTATTTGTCTGGGAGATGAAAATTTACAAGACTGATCTGTCTGAGTCTGCTTGGAGCCCTTAGCCTGGAGTGCTTATACATTTTAAAGAAAGCTTATTCCCAAACCATATATTCTTTTTACTGCTTATGTCCACTTGTGTTGGATCAAAGCAGCAGCTACTTATTTAAGGTGGACACATGGTTATTTTTGGTCTTCACTACCCACGATCTAAGATGCATCAGGGGTTATGTGCCCGCTCAGTTTCCATGGCTCAGCTGAAGGATGGTAAAGTGCAATAATTTGCATGTTTTTGTGGCTGAATGTAGTTGGAAGTAAACCAAGTACCTTGGTTTATGGCTACACAGATCAGACCTGCCTGTCTGCTCTTATAGTAGTACTTAGAGTTTGACCCCCCTCCCCCCTGCTCCTTCATTTCCAAGTGATTTGCAACAGGAATGGTGATGGAGAAGTATAGGAAAAGGAGGAAGTCGATGGCCTTGCTTTCCTGCTTCTTGGAAACCTTTCTGGCAAATGGAAAAATAAGGTTGTGGCTAGAGTGTTTTTCCCCGTAGTTGATTGTGACTCAGTGGTTTAGTTTGTAAACACATTTTTGTAGAGATTGTCCCTACGTAGGAGTGAGCATATCCATATCAAATCTATAAAATGATTCAGTTTTGTGTTTTCCTTTCTTTTTCTCCTTTGTAGAACCATGGCAAGTCCAAGGACAAGGAAAGTTCTTAAGGAAGTCAGAGCACAAGATGAGAACAATGTAAGAAATGTATATATGAACTTGTTTAAAATAGTTTTGTAGCATTGAATTTCCTTTCCTATTCCTGTATATGTTACTATACACAAGATCTACTCTGTTTACAGCACTGGCGCAACTAACTAATGGTAGCATATAAATTTGGGATATCTCCCACCCATGTTAGTTTTATTCATACTTGTATTATAATGCATGGGTGTATATTTGTCACAGGTCTTYCATAGATTTTAGTAATGCTGTAGCCCTAGCAGTCTATCTAACAAGAAAAATATTGGACATAGCTTAGTATAAAGTGGTCTATTTAAAAGTTTTATACTTCAMCTTGAATGTAATAGCCTGTAGACAAGTTCATTTTAATTTATATCAGTGTGGGATTTCCTCCTCCTTCCCCTATGTATTATATGCATCTCTGTTTGAAAGTGTATGCTGTGAGTGGAACCGACATAAAAATGATGTTAAAACCCAAAGCATGATTCTCATCATAAATATACAAGATCTTGTGATGTATGAGCAGTAAAGATTTTTAAAGAAAAACTYCAATTTGCTATCACCTTTGCAATTCATTGCCAAACTGTACTCTGACTGAATATGTGTTCCAAAATTAAATGTTGTATATTTCTTTGGCAAAGGAAACTTTAGGAAGTCTGTTTGGTCTTTTCCTTTAAAACAATCTGAAAAAAAAAAAAAAAAGATGACTTCTCTGCTGATTAATTTCAGTTCATTTGTTTGTATTCCCCTGCTATTTTAGACATGACTGTTTTTCTCTTGCAGGTGTGTTTTGAATGTGGTGCATTTAACCCCCAGTGGGTGAGTGTGACCTATGGAATCTGGATCTGCCTTGAATGCTCAGGAAAACATCGTGGCTTGGGAGTCCACCTCAGGTCAGCCGTTCAGACAGGAACTTCACTGGGCTTCCCTGGGACGTGTTGGGGTTTTCGAGAGAATCTCATTTTGGAGAGGTGTAGAATGCCCCAGCTTCAGCATTTCCCAGACTATTTTGTTTTATGCTTCGCTCCGAAGTGTATTTTACTCTCTGTGATTCATTTGGGCATGTGCTGCATTTATGTAGCTATGTTCTTAGTTCAGAAAGTAACACTTCTCCCTTCATATTTAGAATTGTGCTGCAGAATCTGGGAAACACTGTGCTAATTTAATCTCCTTTCTTTGTATTCTGCTTTTTTCTTTTTTAAATAAAAAAAAAAGTGTAATCTTGTCAATTGAAACTAGCAATTTAAGATTTGAGCTAAAACAATGATAGTATGATTAAAATGTCTGTAGTGTGTGTATATATATAAAACTGCTTTATTCAGTTCTCTTTATTTTTTGGTAATAGAGATGATAGCTCTTATTTTTTTTTTTTTTCCAAGAAACATACTCAGCTGAGCCAGGAAATTACGGAATAAGAATTATTATGTGTTCCAGAGACTCCATGGTCTATAATAGGGACAGAACATGGGACAGTTACTGAAATGAGAAAGGGAAAGAAAGTCCAGGAGGGAGATCACCAAAGCAAGGAGGCCATTCAGAAGTATGTGCTTTGCTTATTAAGGGGTGATTTCAAGTTCCTTAGTGAGGTGAAATTGCATAAGAAGTGAATTTGGAACTATTCCATGACTTACATGAAAGAAAATACAAAGTATTGAGACAAAGGAAAATTTGATGGAGAGCAATGATTTAGCGACAAAAAGACAGAAATAAATCAAGATACAAGGTTTATAAAGCCTTGTTGAGGATAATGTCTCATTTTTTTTTCTGTGATTTGGATTGAAACATTAACAATAGAGCACTTTTTTTTTTTTAATGTAGTTTAATGAGCAGTAGCAAGAATTTATAGCCCAAAACAGAGCCAAGATGCCAAGATGTTAAGTGTGGTCATATGCACCCTGGGATAAGGGCATGGTAGAGGGTACAGTGTAACTACTTCAAACAGCTGAGCTGTCAGGTGCCTGATGGTCTTTATGAGGAGAAGCTTGGAGTGAGGGAAAGGAAGGGACACGAGGTATCCTTGCTGATCCCCTAAGTGTAAGCTTGCCAAAAAAAAAAAAAAAAAAAATCCAGAATAAAAAGATTGGGAAAAGCTGGGTTAAGTCAGTTTCCACACTTGTAGAAGAAAGCTGCTTTTTTTTCTGCCAGTTGTCTTCCATTGGTCATCTCCTTTAATTGCCTCTATAAGCATGATTTTTAGATTATTTCAGTGAGAATTTGACCTTGTTATGAGGCTYTTTCTTCCTATGCTTTGAGAGCAATTCTAGCCTTTCTGTGCCCTCTGTCTTGGAGATGAGTTGCAGTAATATTAGTTTCTGCTCCTATAGCAGGATATGGCATAACATGCTGGGTTTTTTTAACTAATTTTCAGTTTTGTGCGCTCTGTGACTATGGACAAATGGAAAGATATTGAGCTGGAGAAAATGAAGGCTGGAGGTAACAGCAAATTTCGAGAGTTCTTGGAGTCTCAAGATGACTACAATCCTTCTTGGTCATTGCAAGAGAAATACAACAGCAAAGCTGCAGCTCTTTTTAGAGATCAGGTAAATTGGGTTGTATAGCAGTGCTTGTCTTCATCTGCTTCATAAGCACTTAAAAAAGCAACAACTGTGTGAAGGTCTGCAATGATTCTTGGAAGGGATGAGACTCAGAGACACTCTTTTCAGCTCTTAAGAGTAGGGTCTTTTGTTGTTGCTTTTGATAGTTTGTTTCTTTAGAAACTTTCTTTTTGGTCTTTGGGCTAGTTTCTCATTGATGTGATTTGCTGCAACGAGGTAGACTGGGGAGCTGTTTTAATTTTTAAGTAAATTGCTATTTCAACGGTACAGTTTAATACAAAAGCTTGCTGATTAAATCTTATTTGTATATGGTTACAAAGTAGCAAATTAAATGGTGTAGTACAGACAGGACAGGCAGAGCAAATACATTAATTAATGTAATGGCATTATCATTTTGAGGATTTTGCAAACYTCAAAAAGTGAAATGTCAAAATATTTGAAATCAGATGGTGGGAGACTGTACCAAAATACTGATTTTTTTATGCTGCCCCTRTCATTGCAGCATTAAGACATTACATTCCATGCTTACTAGAGTGTTCCTACAGCTTTGGAGTTTCTCATCTGTGGTGTCCCTCTACTCTCTAGAATTTAGCTGATTTCAGAAACTGCCTGTTGAAGGCAGCGTATCTTGAGTATCTTAATGAAGGCAAAGAARTCTTCTGTACTCCATAGGTCTTTTTAATACGAATTTGCATGAAAACTTGGACCCTGACATTCTGATCTTTTTCCTACCACTTTTAGGTAGCAACTGTAGCTGAAGGCAAGGAGTGGTCCCTTGAAACATCTCCTGCAAAGAACTGGACACCACCACAGCCCAAAACGTCCCTCTCGTCGACTCATCGGTATGTATTTTTTTATCTAAATGTTCATATTACAGTAGCAGGATCAAACTCTCATTTTTTTTAAATCAAGCATTTTTTTTGCTGAAGTTAAAGAATCTGATGTAGCAGAGCTTTAATTTCTGTAATCAATCTCCCTTCCTCTCAGYCTTTCCTGAATCTAAAAAACTGTGGCGGAGAGAGACAAGTGAGCAGGAGCAGAAAACGAGCCCAAGCTCYGTTTGGCTTCTTGCCTTGCAGTGCACCTGACATCAGTGTGTGTCCGTCATGCTCTGACTGACACACCCAGACCTAACTGTGCTGCTTTTCTTCAGTAGTCAATCACAAAACTGGAGCTGACAGTCTTTTCTGTATGAATTTAATAGCTATTAGTGCATCAAGGTTTGAATGCGGCAGCCCTGTTTTTCTGCCTTTGCATGCCTATGTGTTATTGTTTGCAATCAAGAATCAATCTAAGCAATCGTGAATCAGAAAAACAAGTGCTTTGTGCCTGGCCATGATCCAGCAAGTTCAGTGGGCCACTGAGTAACACTCTGTATTTGGGTCTACTGTTGCTTTATTCATTCAGTACTCTAATGGCTTTTAGTGGTTATGTTAGGGATCCCTACTTGACAGATCAAAGAAATAATCAATTCTGCATTTGTTTTATGATAATGCATGGCAAGCTGCAATGCTGACCTAGTGGATTTTGCTTTATACGTTTTGATTCTTTAAAATCTTTTATTTCAGTACTTCTGCTGGACAATCTCAGACTGCAACTGCCTCATCAGACAAAGCATTYGAAGACTGGTTAAATGATGATGTCAACTCCTATCAAGGGTAACGTAATATTTACAGAGCTGATGTTCTGTCTGCCTTGTCCTCCAGCATAGCATAGACCAGGATGTTATGCTACAGCTGCATAACTGATTCTGATTCACTTGGCCTAGGTAAACAGTTATATCTTGTTTCCTGTTTTTAAAAAAATGATAATATATGGTTGGGGAGAGGCGAAGGAAGATGCCTTTTAATGCGTTTGTTTAAAAGGCAAATGTTTCAATACTGTTTGAAAAATGTTCCTGTAAATCAAATTGTTGCTATAGTGAGCTTCAAACTAGGAGGTCTTTAGTATGTTTAGAGTATTGGATAAAACTGAGGCATTGATGACACTGTGGTGTTTGTTTTCTTCCTCTATCCCTCCCTACTCGTATCTTCAAATATCACTTCATTTTCTTATGGTAGTGGCCAAGAGAATCGCTACGTGGGGTTTGGGAACACAGTAACACCTCCAAAAAAGGAAGATGACTTCCTGAATAATGCCATGTCATCACTGTACTCGGTAAGGAAATGTCCAAAAGTTTCTGAGACCTGAGGTACCCCTTTATTTTGTGTCATCTTGGGGGAATACATGTGAATATCCACACTAAACTCCATTTTGTGTTTTTACATAATTTCGTAGAAACACAAATTTTGTATTTTCGTAAAAACGAAATTATGTACGTGCTGAGGAGAGATTAGTAATGAAGAGACTTCACAGGCATGACCAAAAAGTAAATTTTTTAAAGTGAAGAGAAAACATTTATGTATATAGAGTGTAAAGCTAGTTGATGTTTTGTTGCTTCTCTGCTTCTCTTCTCAAGCAAATAATGGAAGCTTATTACAATATTGCAGTTCAGTGGGGAGCTATGATTTTTATTCTCCCTGGTGGGTAGTTCTTATGACTACAGGGCAAACAGTATTAAATAACATTTTTGACTAAATTTACCATACATTAGCGAACATTATGAATAGTAATTGTAAATAATCGATATAGGGTGCTATATTTTCTCTTTCTTTTACAGGGATGGAGCAGTTTTACAACTGGAGCTAGCAAGATTGCTTCAGCTGCTAAAGAGGGTGTAAGTAAATACAATGTATTTTAATGTAATTCTTGCAAGGTTGAGGAGACTAAGCAAACTTTGAGTGCTCTGAATTATAAGAAAGGTGTCCTTAACAGTGTCACCAAAGAAAATGGAATTTTTGTGTGTGTATCCTGGCCTATGRCCTATAAAACATAGACACAAGGAGTGCACACTTCTGCCTTAACACATCTCATCATTCTGGGCAGTTCTTGTAAATTTGTCTGCTTACTTAGGTTGAATTGAGAATGATGTTTCCCCATATGACCTGGAATACCAAAGGAATTAATSTGGATTTTGCCCATTCAAAGTGAAATTCTAGCAAAGGTTTGTTCATTTTGGAAAGGACCATGCAGCATTTCTGTATGTGTTTTTACTAGGAAGAAAGCTTTTGGTTAATTTTAATATGTTTGCTTTCCACAGGCTACCAGATTTGGATCTCAAGCAAGTCAAAAGGTGATTGAGTTATAGATTTAGCTGTGCTTTATTCATAGAAATTGGCTTTAAATGTCATGTGTTTGCCTGCACCTGTTGATTTAGATTTGATCATCAGGAGACCAGTGTGTTTATCCCTGGGGATAATTCCGTGGGGATCGAGATCAATGCTCATGGGCATATTAAGCATAAAACAAATAGTGGTAGCTCTGCTTTTACATCATTGAAGGGAGTATTTGATAGGCAGTGGAATTAAATGCTTTAATTCATGTTTGCTGTCATAAAATATGCAAGTCATTTTATTTTTGTGAAGCATAAATGTGGTGTGTCTGAAGTAGTTCTCTAGGTTATCCAGTGGAATACAAGTCATCATTCCACTGCTAAATTCTAATAGTCCATTATGAGTGCAGGCTACTTAATATTCTTAAATTAACTGGCCTCTGTGTATTAAAAAAGTGACCATTCTAAAAATACTCTTTCAAAATAAGATTAAAAGGCAGTCAGACCTGAATGATACAGAGCTCTGGCACTAGCAAGATCTGTGAGCACTGGGAAGTTTAAAATTAAAATGTAGAAATCTAGAAAACGGGATTCTTCACATGCAAATGCTCTGAGGGAGAGAGGACGTATAGGGAAAATTAGTTTTGCGCTGGGCTTTCTTTTGTATGCCCAGCATTAGCCCAGCATGCCCCACATATGCGTAAGATGCTATAGTTCCCCAAAAACGTAAAGTTGCAGGAGGTGACGATCAAACGAGTGTTTGCCATAGGGTCTCATAGCAAGCCAAACTTGTGCATGTTTTGCAGAATTACCCAAAAAGTCTTGTGAAAGCACACAAACACGATACTTAACAAGCTTTAAAATTTGCTGCCTGGCTTATGTAAGAAAAATTGAGTGTTCTACATTGTCTTTTTTCTTCCTTTTTCACTTTGTCCGGCAGTTTGGCTTTTGGAAAAGGGTTCTTTAGTGTTACTGGCATTAATATGCTTATGTAAATACAGTACTAAGTGTAAAAGCTCACAACTACTGACAAGATTCTCAGCAACACATTGCTCTAGAATCTTAGCCCTGTTACCATAGCTTAAATTTTATTCCTGAAACATCTGGTCTGTAGCACAGATTTAACATCTCTTTTATATCATWTATTGATGATAAGTGTATTTGATGGCTGTTCATCAAATGCATTCATGGTTTGTCTTGTCAGTAGATGTTAAAATTCAAAAAAGGTTTGTGCTACTTAACTTGCCTGAAAAAAATGCTTCCAGTCTTGCTAAAAGCTGCTTCTTCTACCTTYCTTGCTCTTCTCTTTTGCTGTCGGGTAAAGTTTTGGGGCTACAAGCAGCAGCCAGAGCCGGTAATGCCCTCACATATGTTCTCATGCATGGACTCCCTGTCACTGTTCGTGCTAAATATGTGCATTTGCTCTCGAGCTCTCTCTTTTGCCTTACATGAAATTTGTTTAAAATAATGTTGTTTCATACAGTGATGCTTTGTCCAACGTGGTTAAAATAGGTTAAATTGGATAGAGATCTTCAAGCTCTGCGCTCCCAGAAAACCTTCAGTGCTTGTGCCCGTGCTTTTTGTAAGCACTGATGATATCAGGGACTCTTTTTGCATTTGTGATTCAGGAATGCTGTACACCAGGAATCACTCTGGTGTTCACAGGCAGTAAGAAAAGCCTCATTATGTAGCATGGTTGAGTAAATAGGATTATGTGAGAATTTTCCCTAAGTCTAGCAATGGCTTCACTTAGCACTCTTCAACTATAAGACTTAGTGAATTAGGCTTATTGCATGTGATAAACTGCTAATTTATCAGCTTCTCACTCTGGTGAGATTTTTTTTTCATTTTGGAGAATCCAATTTGATTCCTTTTCTGGTTTTTCATGAACACCTTCATAGTCTTACTTCTTGGAGAAGTCCTGTGAGATTTGCTTTATGTTTCTTTAGATATAGGAATGGGGTTACATCTACCCTTTGTCATCTTAAATAACCTTTGGATTGTTAAGGAGTGCAAGGATTGGAGCTGATGCTGGTTGGGTAAAGGGCGGATGCAGATCCAAGCAGCCTTTTCTCTAAGGAAAAAGCTTTTTAGACAGCTGGGAATCTGGAAAAGAAAAATGTTTACATGTTTCAGTTTGCAGGAATTGGCTCTTTTGGACTAATGGGTGGAATAATTCAGAAATTAGTAGAATATACTGAAAAAAGGCAACTGTTACAGGCTTATTGTGGTAGTAGGGGAGAAATGACTTTTCTGTGAAGCACTTGCAAGCCCTGCYCTCCTTGTCATGAAAATGATTTATGAAAATCATTTTGTGATAGCAACTTGCRTTTTTGTAAGTCAGCCTCTAAAGCACAACACTCATGCATCTGCTTTTCTGATTGTTAAGGATATCTGCATTTCATAGATTCCTCCCTATGCAAACCTAGAGCCATAAAAAAAATGACAAAAATCATCTGTCACAACTGACTCTTAAATTGCCTAGAAACAGAGCTGGATTGTTACTAATAGATGACAGCAGCCCTCTAAGTCAGAAGAAATGGTGCAAAACTGCAGCTGAAAARGACTGATTTTATGAGTACCTCCAAGAACTAGAAAAAATAAAGACAGAGGGGGTTTGTTTTCTCAAATATTGAGCCGCAAGTGTCAGCAAGGGGCTGCCTTGCAGGTTGTTGCTGATTGAACCATTGATGCTGCTTGCCATGGAAGGTCAGACTTGACTTGGGCTCTGGGCATTTCCCACAACCTGTGGCCATGTGCATCTGTCTTTAAATTTATTTTCTTTCCATGTTTTGCAAAGCGTCTGCAGCACTGTACTGTGTGTGCTTCCAGCTCATCCTGCTTGTRCAAATCACAGCTTAAGGCTTTCTGTATTTGGGAGATACTGCTAAGAGCTCATCTGCAGAGAATGTTGGCTGTGTATATTTTTTATATATATAAAGGAAAATATAACTGACTTTGTTTTTGTTTTGCTTTTAAATAGGCATCAGAGTTAGGTCAGACATTAAATGAAAATGTTCTCAAACCTGCACAGGAAAAGGTAACTTTGGAACTAGTAAATTACTTGCAGAACATGATTATGGTGCCTCGGGGAGTGATTATTTCCTCCCATCACAACTGTCCAGTTTGCCAATGCATCCTTCTGTTTTTGTATGCTAGCCCAATAGCAGAGGGGAAATATGCAATRATTCAGGGTTAATATGATAGCAAGGAAATGTTAATGGAACATATTTTCCCCCTACCAATCTCCTACACCTGCAAGAATTTTACCTCTCACACCCAATCTCCATTAGATATTTTTCATAGGTATCATTATCCAGGAAAGGAAAAGTGGGCAAGATGAAAATACACCTAAAATAGATGAAGAAATCACTCATAAACAGACATTTTTATTAGTAAGATCTTTGCGCATTACATTCCAAGTGTTTCCCCCATGTACCTGCCAGCCCCCTTTTAATTCAGCTCAGCCTCTTGGAGCCTCAGTCTGCTGCCACGGGAGGAGCAGTAGAACTTGGAGCAACGGTATATGTTTAAGATGAACAGGCACAATGTATTAACAAATAATATGTTCTTGCAACCATTTTTAGTATTCTTTTAAAAATCATACAGTAATACCTTAATATTAAGGGTTTTATGCAGTTGTGAGCAAAGTATGTTCCGAAGCAGTATTCTGAGTAGTCATTCTAATTGCTGTATTTCTTCTAAGAAGCCRAAATAGTCCATAGTAGGGTTTATTTCTCTTCCTTTTAGAATTACTTAAGATCACAAACATGCAGCTGGCAGYACTTCCAACACCACTGCATGAAATCACAGGCAAAAAGTCTAATTAGTTTCCTATTCCTCAAGATTATCCACAGTTGATCTTAGAGTGTTTAGATATATTTGTATCAGCATGTATAAAAGATAGTAAATAGATCTGGTAAGTTTTTAATTTTGCTGGGTTTTTACTACCTTCAAAAAATGTTTGGGGAGGTTAAAATATATTTAAAAGAGTCAAGTTTGCAGATTTTTTAAGACTGTCGTTGGTTTTAATGCTTAGTGCTAGATAATGATGCCTTCCACAAACACTGTATTTCAGTAGAAAATTCCTGTGAACATCAGAGTACTGAGATACACCCCATTAGAGGTCATGGACTATATGGATTTTATTTTGTTAACTTTGGATAAAATCTATTTGATTCACTTTTTTTCTTATTTTTTTTAGCTCTTACCATAAGTAAGCTTAAGGTGTCAAAATATTTTGTTCTTTGATTTTTTTACTAATGTTTTGATTCATGTAGGTGAAAGAGGGGAAAATTTTTGAGGAGGTCACCGTGGGGGTGTCACAGTTGGCCAGCAAGGTAGGAAGTGGCCTGCTTGCCTTTGAGGAGGCCAAATTCCAAGCCAGTCTCCATATTCTTATCCGTGTTTTTGGTGAAAGAAGACCCCACAGCAGCTTCAGTCTCAGCTTGTGTTGATTTCAGCTAAGGTTTGACAATATTGTTCTCCATATGCAGCACTTGTGCTGGGCTGCTGAAAAGCTCTGTGCAGATACGATGTGATTTTCCACCATGTCTGCACCGAGGGCATCGTGTAGCGTTGTAAGAGGGTCCGCGTCCCAAATAAAGGGTTAACGTCCCCTACAGAATATGGAGACAGCTTGTGTGGCATTTGTACCCTTAAACTTACTAATGTTTTGCACCTTTTTCCTTTGTTCTTTGCTGTCGTTGCTTGGTACTGTGGTAAGTGCTCTCTGCAATTGCTAGGTACAGAGTCCTGCAGAATGGAATGCCCAATTTGGTAACTTCTGTAGTATTGCACAGGAGGGTCTGCCTTTCTAGCAGAGTGAAGGTCAACACTAGAAGCCATATCAAGTACCAGAATGAAGTTATTTTGATATTCTTTTTGCTTAAAGCTTGGCAACTTTAAGTCTGAGCTCTGGGACCCACCCATAGTCTCTRACTTGGAATAGTGACTTCTGTTGATGTCACATCAAAATCCATGTTTCTAATACAATACCAATCCAACATCTCTACAAAATGATTCCTCTAGCAGTCCTGTTTATGCTAGAACATCACCTTTGGTCTGTTCCCTGAGCACCAAAATAAAACTAGCAAAAATGGATGGAAACAGTTTTGTAAGACAGCAGGAGTATAAACACTGATCTTGTACATTGTGATACTTCTTGGTAACATCAAAGCACCAATATTAGACTAGACAAAGATCTAGACAAGCCCCATAACTTGAGTTTTTGCTATTAGTGCAAGGTAGCTTTCAAACGAGTGACAGGATACTTAGTATGTGGAATGGGAACTTGTTTGATTTCTGAGCTTCTGTTGCTTCTAAAGTGGAGCATCAAACAGAAACAAGTTCTGAAAAGTTAGACACTGGCTCCTGTTTCTGCTGACCGCCCCACTTTGTACATAACAGCTGGGAAATGCTCTTCTTATGAGTCACAAGTATTTCTGCAGTGTGCAGTTTATGTAAGGAGTAATTCCAGCATTTTTGTCAAGAAAGCTTAGGACGGAATTCAAAGTAGTTAACTGGCAGTCATAGGAAAAAAGCTGAATGTGCCCTACTTCTCACATCTTCCAGCAGCAGCATGGTGCTSTCAAAAGTATTTTCTTTACATCAGCCTTGTAACTCTTGATCAAAATTATTAATACCTGGTGAGTGAGTTTTTTTTCAGTGCAATATGTTCTCTTAATTTGAACAAGGCAGGAGGACGTGTTGTGTGCTTTTCAAACTGTTAGAGAKGTGTGTGTTCTATCCAGATGAGTGGAGTGTCCTTTTTTTCTAGGTTCAGGGAGTTGGAAGTAAGGGCTGGCGAGATGTCACCACCTTCTTTTCTAGCAAACCAGATGATAATGCTGAAAGGTATGTATTTTATTGTCTTTTGTATCTCTTTAAGCCAATTTCATCCTACAGATATTGTCTCTAACATAATAGTAGTTGGTAAATTTTAAATATGAAGAAATGATTCTTTTAAGAAAACTTTGCTCTAAGTCSTCTGCATGTAACAAAGGGGCATGCAAAGCTCAGTTCACTGTAACAGTTCATGCCAGGTATTACACTGAGAGCAAATACTGCACCATGCCAAGGTGTTAAATTCATGTGATTAAATTCGTTGTGATCAAAATCCATGCGTTGGAATATATGTCATTCTGAGTAGCACCTCCATCCTTTCTGCCTCTGTCCTTGATTATGTTTGAACAAAAGATAGTAGCATTATCATTTTATGTTTATAGCTGTTTATGTTATACCTGCTTTTTCTCTCCCCTACATTTTTTCCTTCCGTCATAAAAGACCAGCTGAAGGAGACAGTTACCAGAACAGCGGAGGGGAGGGCTACCAGAACAGCGCTGTAGATCAAAGCTTCTGGGAGACCTTTGGCAACTCAGACCCACCGAAAGCTCATAAATCCCCGAGCAGYGAGAGCTGGACGTACGTGGACAATTCCACAGAGAAGAAGAGCTCCGACAGCTGGGACGTGTGGGGTTCAGGAACAGTCTCCAACAACAAGAACAGTAACAGCGACAGCTGGGAAAATTGGGAGACCAACTGGGAAAACGCAGGAGGGGAGAGCAAGACCAAAAAACCTCCCAAGGCACCGAAAAAGGCGTCCTCAGCTGATGAGCGGTGGGATGACTGGTAGAACTGGTAGAACTCTGTTAACCCTGTTTTGCACAGCTAGGGGAGGGAGGTTACGCTGGCTGATCGAGGGGAGACAGTTTCACACACAATTGGATTATCTTGGTTGACCTTACTGATCTGTTAATTTTGTGCTTCCTTCCCATTCATTCTCCTTTCTTCTCTCTTAGGGGAAAAAACAGTGTCTGAATCTTGTTATTACATCGAGATGACTCTCCCATTTTTCAAGATAATCTCCTTGCACAATTGAAGCCGAGCGCAGTAACAATCTTGACAGGGTGTTCRCAGGATAAGAAGTGCAAGCACATTTTCATGGCACAATCTTGCATGTGTAGTTTTATAGGTCTTCATACCGTCTCCATGTGACATGAGATGATCTGAAGTGTTTAATGCAAGCAGAGGAGAGAGTGTATCTTAAAAAGAGCCATTAAACAAGCAAATTGCAATTGCGTAGTTCTAGTTCAAATGCCTTATGGATTGCTGGGACCACATTAAGTCTGGCAATTCAAAATGGTCTTCTGAGATACTTTTTATTGGAGATGTGTTTTTAAAACTTTGAGATGTGAAGACTTTTAAAACTTCTCTTCCCTTAGGATTAATAAAGAATCTAGACCTAGATAGTTACTTGTATAAATTCGTTGTTTTGGCAGCGTGAGCTACCAAGGGATCTTTAGAAAGGCTCTGCTTGTCCTTCCTACTCATTTGGATAAGAGTTTACACAGTGCAGATTTTCTACACATATAACGTAAAGCTGTGATGGTGTCCTTCCTTTTCTGCACTCCTCCCCCAATTTGAGTATTAGCAGAGTCTGCCTCTTCTTTTCTGTCTGATTTTATATATATTTTTTTTTGCTTCAACCTTCTATTCTGAACAAAAAGGTCCTTTTTTTCTGCTGCTTATGGCCTATTGGACACATATTTGGCAACTTGGCAGTGAAAAAAATGTTAAAAAATAGATAAAACAGGTGGAGAATATGAGAACACTGAGGAACGAGGCTGGCAGGAAGCCCCTTTCCAGATGAGATGATGTCTGGCATCCTGGCTGCTGGGAAGAGCCTAGGGAAGAGACAAAGGCAGGAGAGGCTGAAGTTTTACAGGCTGCTTGTAGTACTGTTGGGCAGGAGCTTGAGCCTGGCTGTAAAACAGGGAATTTCTTCCATGTCTCCTCTGTCCCACGTAGACCTTTGTCGTAGCTTGACTGTGTGTCAAACATGCAACTCTATTTTCATGCATACACTTCTGTTGCCTTATTCTTCCATATATATATATATTTGTGGACCTGTAGTGCTCTGTGCGAAGTGATGCTGCCAGCCTGGGCTCTGTGGAGATGCCAACGTGGTGCCTCTGGCTACCGAGGGGCCATGAAGCTGCTCCAGCTCCCTCTGCACAAAATTACAACAGTTTCTCTTTCATAAACCTCCAGCAGTAGCTCATAGAGGGATAAATTTCATTTTAGCTCCATTGAATCATCGATACTGTGATGTGTATTCATACATTCTCCTCCACTGTGTCTCTTGCCTAGGAGAAAACTGGTTTACTTGTGTATCACTTGCACCAATTGGCATAAGCCATTTGTCTGTCAGGTGTTTTTTGTTTTTTGCGTTTTGTTTTTGAACCTTTATGTTCTAAATTAAACAGCCAGAGTCCTACCAAGGCAAAGTTTTGGAATACTGTTTTTTTTTTTCTTTCTTCCAGTTGAATAGAAAGTGACAGAAAAGCTGTTTTCTCTATGCGTGCCTGTAGAGATACAAAGCTAGACTGCAACTCCTATAAAAGAAGGTATTAGTAAAGATACTATAAGAACTAGCAGAAATTAGAGCTGCAGGAGCAATGCTACCAGGCTGAGTGGTCTGTTTGACAGGTGAATCAACATCTGTCACTTAAATCTGAATAATTTACTGTATTTTCTGAAGGAGATGGTGGATAAAGGGTATTTTCTGTTTTCTGTTTTATTTTTACTCTGTTGAAGAGTAGATGCTGAGGACGTTTCTGYTTTGGAAAGCAGCTTGGTAGAATATATACAATCAAGTTGAGCTTGTGGAGGGAACGTTTGGGAATTGGAATGTTCTTTTTGGACTAGACCTTAAAAGATCTTCCCCCACTCTTTTTGGCTCAATCATGAGTAGTGTCCACACAGACATTGATGATAGCTTGGCAGAGCTGAGGCTGCCTCTCTAAAGAGATGGATTTGGGTGGATTTTAGTCAATGTGTGCACAGAGAAGGCTCCGGTGTTCCTAGTACTTCACTCCCTGTAGGATGGATAGGGCTCCACTTCCCGTTCAGTCACACATTTGAAGGTCACGCAGGCAGGTTAGTGGAGGAGAGGGCTGTAGGTGAAACAACACCTGAACAACTAGGCATTGCAACGTTTATTTTAAATTTCTTAGTGTTTCAAACCTTGTTTCTGTTCCTTTGCATGGCTTCAGTTTTGGAAGATAGAGAGCAGCTGAACTCCTGCCAATAGCCTGAAATCAGAGAAACTTCAAGATGTCCAAATTAAGTGCCACTTACAAAGGACAGAGTCTTGGTGAGTGTTCCCAGGCCAGGAGCTGAGGCTAATCCCAGAAGTTTGGGGTTATTTTAAAACGTTTCATTTTTCTCTTGAAGCCCGTTAATAACAATTCCGTTTCAAGAAATGCTTGGCCAACTCTCCCTCCTGGTTGAGGTTTCAAGGATCATGCTGGTGCTTTTATTTTTTTTCTCAGTCCAAACTGTGTAACATTCCATGGGTTCATAATGTATTTTTCAGTGTAATAGTCTGTGCAATAACTTAACAAGTGTAGGTGAAACCTTTGTTTAATTCACGATACTTTTAAAGATACAGTTGGTGGTCTTTGAGAACAGCAGTCAACCATGATATTTCAGTTTTTGCCTACTCTGGCAATATTAAATTCCAGTAACTCTGTCAAGGAGGTAGTTAAGCAGAAATCAAGAAAACACTATTATGTCCAGTATTAGAGTTTTATTGTAATGGCTTTGAATGACCTCTTAAAACTCCCTTTTAATTTTCATGCCAGTGGTCAGTGTGGAATACTGTATCTATAATTTTTCTGATGTGTTTTATGTGAAATTCACAGGAATGGCAATTTCAGTGAACACTATTCATTGTTCTGTAGAGTGGTACTGGACTTGAACTGCAGTGTCATCTTTTAAAAGAACATTATAATAAAGCAAAGAGATATGGAGCCCGAGTGTGTTTAGCCCTTTTTCAGGAGACTTCAGTTAATCTTAAAAACACAGGAAAAATCATCAATTTGCATCCATCTAACTTGCCTGGAGTGCGACAGTCTGATTTTAAGCAACCAGGGGTTATGCATTTTACATTTTTGAGAGCAGGTAGTTAAGAAGCATCCTGGATATGCTGAATTAGTGGCAGATTACAGTAGATCCTACAACTGGTTTCCTAGGCCATAGTCCCAGCCTACCAACCATAAAGTTTGGGGTTCCCCTCTCATGCACTGTAGCTACGTCAGTAGTTCCATTGACACAAGCTGTTGTTTTGAGATGTGTTTTTGGCTCTTGCCAGGGCTGACCAACTTCCGTGTCTCCCCCAATCTGGACCAGCACACGGATACCCCGGTAAAATATAGGGACCTAGTTGGGGTAGAGACTCTTCCCTTCCCCACTGCTGTGACAAAGGTTGGCTGGATGTGTGAAAACGGGGTCTGGAACTGAAATGGAGGYGGGTTGTCCCTTTTGGAAGCAGGAGAACGCACAGTTCCAGCACAAGCACAGCTCAATYGTTCATCATCCTTTAAATCACTGGGCTGCAAGTAGGCCAAGACACGTTGCCCGCTCTGTTTTAGYTCCAGCTGTCAGTGCTCTGCCAGCAAGAAGCTGAACATCATCAGCAACGCGGGAAAGGAGCAGTCACACTGCTCTCCTTAGCAATCTTCTTTTAATTGAGATGAAACTTTATCTTTCTTTTTTCATCCTCAAGTTGCCTTCTCACTCCAGGCTCTGAATTTCACCAACGCTGCCAGAATGGACACGTTTAAACTCACCAAAAATAGAAAGGATGGAATAAATACTAAAGAGACCTCATCAGAAGATTGCTCGTGTCTGCAGCCACTGAGTGCAAGGGGGACAGACCAGATGTCTCGGGTTCTGGTGCTTTTTAAGGACTGGCAAGGCTACAGTTACGTTTTGTCTCACCAGGACTGTGATAGCCACTCGAGCAGGAAAATTCAGTGCTATCAGCTCCTTGCAGTTTGTAAACCAGCCTTTGTCTTTCCCTTCAAGCTCTGCCAAGCCATATTCCCTGCAAGAGGCTGTTCAGCTTTGTGGAGGTTGTTGAATAGATAAATTGGCTCCTGCCAGGAAACACAAAGACTGGAGTCTGACTTTCTGAAAGAAATATTTCCTCCACTTCTGAGTGAAGTGCTGCTGCTTGGTACCTGCAGTTCCTCACTGGACTGCCAAAATAATCTTAAATAGAGCAGTGTTTAACCTTGACTGTATAGAGCAATTAAGTTTAGTTTATTCCTACTATGCTAAGAAGTATTTTTGATATATTCAGTTAGAGGTACCAGATGACATGAGGGATGTGGGGGATTGAGGTCAAATTTGGAATTACTTTATCCTTATAGAAACCTTTCTGTGTTTGTCACTGCCCAMAAGCCTGTTAGGTGCTATAGCTCAAGAGTGAATTGCTATTTTAACTCCTTTACAGATTTCTGTCAGCTGTCACCTCTGTGCTGGACATCAGTATAAGTCACTGGAGTTGATCTGCCACTTCAATCTGCCTGGACAGGGCTTTCCATTAAACCCCAGCTCTGACCTGATTTTCCTGTTGGAATTGGTGTGACCTTAGCCACAAGGTTTGGTGGAAATGGAATCAGTTCAGCAGGTAGCCGTAAATGTGATGTCTTAACATGCTGCATAGTTCGTATTTTYTCTAGCAATGCTCACATAGATTATTTTCCAAGTGGACTGTACAGCCTAGCTACATACAGTGCTTACCATTCAACTTATGGTGCCAGAGTTTACTGCAATGTGAGTAAYAGAAAGAACTTGAACATAAAACCTCTGGTAAGTCCCTTGAACTTACCCATAGCAAGATCTGTTTCAAAGCTGCTCGCAGAAGTTAAGAATGGAGCTCAAAACACGTCCAAAAGGGAATACTTTCCCTGTTTAGTGATATCCAAAATAGTTAATTGCTGCAAACCAGACTTTTTTTCCCCATCTCTTAAAAGCCTGTGTTCTCCGTGGCACTGCTGGCGTGTAGCTTTTCCACCCGTGAAGGACCCGGTGCCCTGGGCCCTGCTTGTGGTGCAGCCTGGTGGCTCCTCTGCGTTCCCGAGCAGCCTGTGCCCGGCACCGCCGGCGGATCGGAGGTGAAGCCGCTCTGCTCTGCTCGGCCACCGCCGTCTGAGCAGCGGGAGACGAAGCTGGAAGGCTGCCGGGGCCACGTTAAGGTGAGGTGTATCTGAATGTCAGTGCTGTGGGGAAAGAGCCGTGCTGTGGAGAGCCGCCTCCTGGCACCAGCTCACCRGCAGAAACTTCTCCATGCTTCCTCTAGAGGGGAATATTTTCCTGTCCGTGGCTGTTGAAGGTCCCGATAGCCAGAGGCAGGGTTAGAAACTGGCTTCTGCTTTTGTATCCGCTTGTCTACAGTAGCCTCCCGTGCTCTGCCTTTGCATGATGTGGATTCCCTGTCCCCAGCCACACTTAAAAACCTCTCGGGTTTTATTTCTTGGTGGTTTTGCTCTTCTGTCTCCCTGGCTGAATGTGCCCAGCTGGATAAGGCCAGTTTAAACTTCAGGCRGCAGCAGCATCTGAGGCTGTTGTGTTAATCCCTGTTAACACAGCAGGTCCTTGGCTATTAAAACAAGCTAAAAGCCCTTCCTCGTGGCAAGGAAGCAGTAGTTTCCTATTGCAGAGGACCAGTGGCAAGGCTCCCCATTGCTCCTGGTGCAGGATTGCCACAGCAATAACTAATAATTCTTTTAAATGAGTTGTGGCAGGATCATGCTCAGCCTGCTAAGAGTGCTTCCTTTGGCTATGTTCAGTGGATGCTAATTGTAACTTAATTAGCACAGTCTCCTTACTACATGACATGGAAGATGAGTCCTAAAGCACCAGGCCTATTTTCCCCACTTCTTTTTGGAGGTTTTCTTCTTTTCTGGGTGAAATGTTAGTCTAGGTTCAGCCACTGTCCTGGGGCAATTGGAGGAGGAAGATGACATGAGCAAGGCTCAGAGCTGGGGCCTGTTGCACTGCAGTCCTGGGCTCGACCCTCGTGTAGCCTCGAACCCCTTTTGCTGGGTCTTGTTTTCTACTTTTTCTACCCTCTTGCCCCAGAGCACTGGTACTGGAGGCTGAAATTCAAGGACTAGTGGAAATTCTTTATGTTTCTCCTATTAGATGACAGCAAACATGGAAGAGAAAAATGTAGGTGCTTGTTGCATACAAGTTGTTTCTTTAGGCAAAGAAAACTTGGATTTATTAGGAAGATCATAGTGCTTGATGGAAGCCGCTTCCACTGCCCACAACGGGGATGAAAGGGACGGAGGGGCAATCCCTAGGGCTTCCACGTGGATTGCACCCTGGCCATTATGAATGAAGGATGTTCCAGCACTGAGCAGTGACAAGCCCTGCCCAAAGAGCTCTGAAAAGCTCTCTCCAGGTAGGTTAGACACATCAGCAGTGTCAAAGTGGATCCCTTCTGGAGTCATCCCAAGAGCTGTCCCACGGCTCCGGAAAGGCCACCAGCGGAGCCGGCCTGCAAGCACAAGGGGAGCCTGTTTCCGAGGCCGATGATGTGGCAGGATCTGCAGGACGGAGCCAGGATGCTCTGTGAGGAGCCTGGATAGAAGCAGCCTTGTTGATGGAGGCCATCGTGGCAGTTCTCTGCACGGCCAGACTGCAGCAGCCGCTTGGCTTGAACAGGAGCACTGTGACCGCCTGGGATGTGCTCAGCCCACGAGCTGCACCTCTGCTCCTGAAGACCCAGGAGGGCCACCAGAGATGCTGGATGGAAGGAGAACATCTTGCAGGGATTCGTTCTCTCTGCCAACTGTTCCTTCTTGCTGTGTCTCCATCGCTCTGTGCACAGAACTGTTTGCTGCTGCCTTCTCCCCTTGTGCTCGGAATATGCTGGGTCACTTGGAGATGGAGGATGCACCAGAGGGGAACCTGGATGCTGCCTTCTGAAGTYGGCAGCATCATCAACCATCCAAGCAGAGCAGAGGAGCATGTGTCCGTGCCCTCTGTATTCTGCCGAGGAGCGTGGGGAGCTGGTGTTGGGAAGGCAGCTTTCCAAAAGGAAGCTCAAGCAGTGCCTGCATCCCTCAGCAGAGTGATTCTGCAAAYTCTGCCCTGTGGAAGAAGCTGCATGAAACATATGTCTTAGAAAGAGGCCCCGTATGGCATCTAGAGCTTTTGGGATTCGCAAGGGGTCTATTTTCCTCCCTGACGTCTTTTTATCATTGATGGAACCAAAGAGGCCAACTGTCACCATCTTAAATCTCACTTCTTATGACTTGCTGACAAAAAGAGAGTGTTTCCAAGGTGTTTTTGGTGTGGGAAAGGTCAGGAAAGGCAAGGAAGACATGAGAGGAATAGACAGTGCAGGGCCAGCCCAGCCCTGCCAGGAGGCCGCCTCCAAGAGCTGCTTCTCCTCCCTTCCCAGCCACCCGGTAGCCGCAGCCGGTGAGCAGTAATTGCCGACACTGAGCTCGCCCGGGAGTGCCAGGAACGTGTGGCCGCCCGTGCCAGCTCCCGCTCGCGCAGGGCTCACAGCCCTCCCTTTGATTGCAGCTCCTGGCCCTCGCTGCAGCCTTCTTGGAATGCTAAGCCGAGCTTGGCTCCCTGAGCAGCGTTACGGTGCGGGGGGAACATAAGCCTGGAAGGATTTGCTTGTGCGAGGGCAGCCCCTGCCGTCAAGGACACCGTGTCACAGTGCAGCTCTTGCAAACAGAGCAGGCTCTGTTCTTGAATCAGCTGCTGCTGCTGGCGCTGTAGAGGATCGTACCTGACTCCAGGGTGCTCAGCAGCCTTCTTTCCACACACATTTTTTGCAGACCTGTTCATTTTTTAGCCTGTTTCTTAACTGCGAGGGACCCTGAAGGCAGAGCTCCTATTCAGCCCAACACACTGACTCTCATTTATGTTAAAATTCCTTCGTACACCCCTTTGGCGTTACCACCGTCATCCCCGTGCGAGGAGCTTTATAGTAAATAAACTCCTTGCTTCCTGCARTAACCGGCTGGGACTCCTGCTAGCCCGGGAAACAATGCAGCAAATTGTGTTGCTAACAAAAGGCTTTGCAAGCACGGGAGGAAGGGAAGGTGGCTTGGGGCCGGATGCAGGTTGCCTTGTTCAGCTGGGATATTCCCCGCTGCCCGGATCTCTCACCCGCTCCATATGTTGGAGTTTTGTCCCTCTGCGTGTTAGGTTTTTTTTTTTTTAATAGGGAAAGGTGTTATTTAGCAGGGAAGAGAGTATCAAAATTTAGTGCAACAAAGCTCTGAGGTGTGACAAAATGTGTTTCCACTGAAGCCAGATTCCCAGAGAGGATCAGACCTCACTGAATAACTGAGGGAGGGAAGATCTGGACTTGGATCCAGATGCTTTCTCAGTGCCCTTCTTTTGACTAACYCCCCCTTGCTTGTTTATCTATTGTTGAGGCATAAAATAGTAAGAGAAGGTTTATCATTGAGAAAGTCAAAACTTTCGTTGATGTAAAAAAAAAAAAAAAAAAAAAAGGATTTTTGAGGGGTTCGCCTTAATTCAATAGCCTCACAAGTTACAGCAAAGATCATGGAAACTAATCAGGATCCCTAAGCCCTGTTCTCTATTGCTCGTGCGTGCCATGGGTTATCCTGCCTGTAGTTGCTGGGGACTTCTCAGCCTCCTTTTCCACCCGGCTCCAACCCAGAGGCTCCGTTAACTCAATGAGCGAAGTCCAAAGGCTCTAAGCAGCAGCTTTCCTGGTTGGCCATCTCTTCTGCATTGTGAAATAATCTCTGCTCCATTTCAGAGAATACTCYTCTTTTCCACGTTCATCAGTCTTCACATATGGGACAGCGGCTAATTAGCTCCTGGCTGATGAACTACTGCTAAAGCTGATCTGRTTAACCACAGCATCTAGCCTAATGCTGCTCTATTAGGCTTCTAATTGAAGTAAAGAGTCTTCTCAGCCGGTAGGTTTTCTTTCCTCAAACCTATCTTCTGCCTGTTGCCTTTTGTCAKAGTTTTCTCCCCTCCTTTTTGTCTCTGGGGTTTGGTGCTCTTCACTCGCCTATTTTTTTTCCACTCTGCATTTAACTGGTAGGAAAATAACTACATACACATCCAATGAGAGCAATTACTGGTAACCAGCAATCACATCCCAGTTCCCGTGGCTGTTCCACTGCTGAACGTTGTCGCTTCCAGGTCGGCTGGCCTGCCCAAAACACATCTTTAGTAAAAGAAATGGCTAATGGGGAGAACCAAGGCGAGTGTCAGTGCCTGGAGGGAGACTTTAATGGCCAAAGCTGGTAGCATCACCCAGGCGAACAGCACAGGAGTCCCAGATGCTTCAGTGGCAGCTCTTGYTTCTTGGGTCCTGGTTCTACGTGTGTTTGATCTCAGTGAGCACAAAGTCAGTCTCCACAAGACCCGGATCCACGGCTGTGTTTGAGCTTCCGATTCCTGTCTTGGGAGGCAACTCCTGTGGATTTCAGGAGACTGCAGGAGAAGTTAGAGGATTAATGAAAAGTGCACATGAAGGGAACCGCTGATCAGTATTTGAGTCATTGCATTATTTTATTGTATACGTATTTCCTAGGTCAGTGTGGAATCTGTTAAGTTCTGACTCCGGGCTTAGGTCATTTGAAGGGCTTAGGACAGAACTGAAGGACTAAAGCTGGGCTGTTGAGTTTACTGCAAGACTGAACAGTGGAAAACCACAGATCTGCCAACAACTAAAGCAGGGGACCTGGCTGGCGTGGTGCAAGCTGTACGTGGCCTCCAGAGCCCCTCTGGAGCATCTGTGGATAACTGGGGAGTTCTGTGACCTTGTTTTGCTTATGCTGGACCTCTGTGCACAGAAATGTGACTCTCTTGCAGCTTGCCAGACTGCTAGGGACTGTGTTTGTGCTTCAAACTTTCCCCAGCTGCAAAATATTTGCTTCTGCTGGGTGATTTCAGTGATACTGGTTAATCTGAGAGCGGGAGCCTCAATGGGTTTTGATTGCTCTGAATGGAGAACTTCTGTCTTTGTGCAGAGAGGGAGCTGCTGATCTGCAGTTCTGGCCATGCTCCAGTGGCTTTTTCAGTACAAACGCAGATGATTTCACGAGGACTATGGATTTTGAGGAGAGAAGAGTCTCTTGGTCTCTTGCCAGGCAGGCAGAGGGGATGGAGGTTGGCTCTAGATTCTTCTCTCCTACAACCTGTGCTCCTCTTCTGACTTCTGGGAGGGTTGCTGCGATGAGGAAGGGTCCACACTGTTCTGTGCCCACCTTTTAGCAACTATTGGCCACAGTGTTGGATGCAACCCACTCTGGGGTCCCTTGGGGAAGAGGTGGGACCATCCCTTCATGCCTGGACATTGCATGACAAAAGGGACTTCTGGAAATTTTTGTGGGAAAGTGTCAGCACGAAGAGGGGACAGTTGCGGCTTGTCTTGATCAAATCACCCAACTTCCAACCTGTGTTTCTACAGAGCTTGCTGCAGCCACGAGTGGTTGCACGTAGCAAGAAAGGCAACTCCAGCTCGTGGAAACGCCAGCCCTGCCTCCTCGCAGGGCTCGGAGYGAGACCTGGAGCCGTGGGAGCTCCGCTTCCCTCCCCTAGGAAGGAGTCCAGGCTCCCAGCAGAGGCTTTGCTGGAGAAGTGCCCGTGAGGAACCGGGACGCCAGGATCAGATTGCACAGGCTCCTCCTTTGGAGGACAGGGAGGGAAGGAGAGGCGGGGAGCAGGAACTTGGCTGCCAACGTGCCCCTTGCCAGCCGGGCACAGGGAGCGCGCGGGGCGCCCGCGTCCCCGAGACCCCCGGGCATCTCCCCACAGCCCCGGCCTGGCATGGAGAGCCTGAGCAGCAGCCTGAAGAAGAAAGCCACCGAGAGGCACCACCGGGCAGAGGTGATGATCGCTGGAGAGCAGCTGAGGTAGGAGGCGACAGGAGCCGGGCCGGGTGGGTCCCGCTGTCTGCGCTGGGGCAGGGGATGCTCAGGGTTGTCGCTCCCTGAAATTCCAACCGCCTTCCATCAGCAGTAGGTGCAAGGTATTATCTAGGAATAAGCACTTTTGTCCCAAGTGGAAGCGTCTCTCCCTCCTCTTTGCCAGCTGATAGTCTCACCTAGGCAGAGGGGGACGGGGGCTTTTCCCTTGTTGCTTCATTCTGGTGCTTCCCGCAGCACAGCTGGGTCTCAGCTGCCCACCACCCCCAGGCATCTCGCATAGCAGCTGTTTTTAGATGGAAACAGGTTTTCTGCTCCTTTTGCATCTTCCCTCAAGCTTGGAACTGGCACTGAGCAGCTGTGGTGAGTTCCCTGGTCCTCAGCTACGCGAGAGCASGGCTACCTGGAAAGCTTTGGTCCATGCTTGGACTTCCAAAGGTGATTCCAGAGGCTGCCCCGTGGGTGGCCCTGCTCCTGAACTGCTTTGCACAGCAAAACAGGGCTCTCCTTTTTAAAAGTCACTCGTAAAAATGTGCTTTTTTTTTTTTTTTTTTTTTTTTTGTCATCACAGTTTTTGAGCAACTTAGGAGATTTTTTCAATGAAAATGTATTCTGCTATGCAAGAAAACCTGTGGGACTGAGAAAACATTTTCCTTTTCCTTGTGGATCTGGGGTTGGAAAAACAGAACTGCTTCGAAGTGTGGAACTTCAGGCTCTTCCAGCTCTTGAGCACGGATTGTGGGTTTGCATCTGGGTCCTTTCTGCTTCGTTTTAAAATGCAGGTAGAAACTAGAAAATGCATCTTTGAATAACTTAACCCAGAACCAAGTTTGCTAGTGCAAGATTTATAAAATAAGCCTTTTGTACCTGTGTTGTCCGTCCTCTGTGAGCCACGTTAACCTCAGCTTTATTTATTTACATCATATTAAGGATTTATAGCTTCCAAATAAGGATTAGGGCTCCATCCTGCAAACACAGCCCGTGCCCAAAGATTTTAAATAGCTACTGATGCTCAGCTGCATTTCCAGCCTTCTTTTTCCCCAGTACTGCTGTCCAGCTCCGTATATTAAATCTTTTGCTTAGGTAGCAACGGGGAGCGCTGCTGCTGGGGGATGGAGAACTGCATAAACCTTCCTGCTTTTGCCAGACTTGCAGCTCAAACATAAGCCAGGTTTAGAAAATGTGCTTAATTTTCTTGTAGGAAAAAGCAGCAGTTGATCTAAGATTGAGGTGCTTCATTTCAGTAACTCAGTGCAAGAGAGGTAAAGCACTGAAAAAATTACTTTTTCCTTCCCATGGACAGAGGGGGCTTATTCATGTTAACTTTTTTCCTGGTGTTTTGCCCATTTTGAGTGACTGCAGTTTGAGAAGGGTCTTATAGGCAGGGCTAAAGGAGAGGGGTCAGGTAATGGGAGAGACGAGAAGATTTTCAGCCCATGCGTTGAAACTGCCATCAGATCCATAGGATCTGCCATCAGATCCAGTGAAGTGGCTTCCTGGTGTTTTTTTCAGGATGCCAGGATATCGGATCACTTGTCGGTCTGGTAGTTATGTGTCTAAAGAGGAGAAAKGGATACAATAAATCTCTTTGAACTGTTCTCCCATACTACACAATGCTCTAGTTCCTAGAAGAGAGGGAAAGGCACAATGCAAAGATTATCCTCTTCTGACAACTGATACCACAGCCCACTTTTTTCTTGACAGTATTTGTCTGGGAACTTCACTCCTCACTGGAAACCTGAATGTCCCTTGAACCATTAAAAAAGGATGGTAAAATCCTCAAGAAAGACAAGATTTGTGCAGAAAGGGAGCAACTTTCTGTTGAAAGAGTAACTTTCTGTTAAAAGTGACTGGGATGATCTTGGAGAGAACTTGAAAGAAGCAGACATACTTTTTAGTGCACTCATTTCCGAACTGGAGTGCCTTGGAATATTGGGGAATTGGGTAGCTCCAAAAATCCCTAACAGTGAACTCATTGCAAGGAGGGTGCTGCCTGGTTGGCTCAGTTCCTTATGTGAGGACGAGCTTGATCTGGTGCAAGTTATTTGCTGGGAAACGTGGTAGAAGGCAGGAGGAGCAAGGGAGCAGAGGCCACACTGAGGAACGTGGAGAAGCACCAAGAGCTCTCACAGTCGAGGTTGGTGTGAGCTGAAAACAGGCGCCCTGCGGGATGCCCGCTGCTCTGCAAGCACCTGGCTGTGGAAGGCAGCCCCATTCCACCTGGATTGCGTCTCATCCCGGCTGCTCCTGGAGCCCTTGGCCTAGGGAGCAGCAGGGATCTCGCCCAGCACAACTGCCCTCTCTCCTGCTGMGTTTTGTGGGTGTTGGATGCGAATACAGTGCAAGTCCTCAGGGTATGTAGTGCTGCAGAGCTGTTTCACGGTGAGATCAAACTCCCTGGGGTGTCACCTAGGTTGGGATGGGGGAACTGAGGCAGGGAGGCTGGAAGACCTTGCGTCAGGGAAAGCAGGACTACACGTCCGCACTGCTCTCTGCAGCTCCTCTCCACACAAGCAATGAATGTGAAGGAGCCTTGCAGCCATCCGGGCAGCTGCAGCCTGCCTGGCTTTCCATGCGTCAGTTCTGCAGGCCTCCATCGGCAAATAATGCTGCTATATCTATATAAAACCTCGAACGTTTGTTTTCCCTCCGCTCCACATCCTGCCCTGCCTCCTCCCCATGTTTTATTTGACCAAACAGACCTTTGCTCTGTCTTCATGATTCTTTGGCCTCCGAGGAAGTCTGCAAATCCCTCTCGGTTTGGTTTGGCCGGAGGGATGAGTCTGTTCAGCGTCAGGATGGATTTCTGAGCCAGAAACAGCTGCACAAGGGAGGGGTGAGGGAAAGGTAGGTGGGGACAGATAGGAACAAAACCAATCCTAAAAATAATGAGGGATGGTGGGTGCTGTGGCTAGACCTGTGAGAGCCCCTCAACTCCCACAATGATGCTGCTTTCTAGTCTACAATGGGGAACTTGGGTTCAACTTTGTGTTGTTGGGTTCATGATGAGTAGAGACTCATTGTAAAGATTAAGATTTCCTCTGCTCTCTTGGTATTGTGTTCAACGGAGCTGCTGTGTCAGGCTCCTGTTGCTCACATCTCCTGCTGTGACTTCTTTTGCTCCTGGCCTGTGCTCTTGCGTGGAAACCTCACCCCGTGTCCTGGGCGTTGTGTGTGTGCAGCAGGAGCAGGGCTCCTGGGTGGCCTTTTGTAAGAGCACCCAATTAGTCACGTTGCACCCAACGCCTTATCTGCTCCCACAGAGGCGTTTGGCTTCATGCAGACACTTTGTGCGTGGTGGCTGCAGCTCTAGCCATTGCTCTGCCTGTCCAATATCTGCASCCTGAGCAAGACACAAGTGCTTAGGAGAGCCAAGAATTATAGTACTTGGAGCCTGCACAGGAACATTCCCCTTCTCTGGCATCTTCTCCAGCAATTGGACGCATTAGAGCAGATGCTTGTGCCTGCACCAAGGTGGATCAACACAACCAGCCTCCCAGTGATGCTGTGTGAAGCATTTGGGAGAGTTTCATTTAAACAGGAGGAAATAACACCAAGGGAGAGGACACCGAAGACAGGGGGAGGAAAAATGGATGAAAGAGGCAACAGCTCAGATCACTCAGCTCCGAAGTAGAAAATCAATCTTCCAAATCTTGACAAGTTCTATGTTGTATTAGTAACATCTGAAGTGACTTGCACACTCTAATCTCAAGAGTTTATTTTCTCTTTTCACCGCTGCAGATCTGCCTTTCAGCAAGGTTACACAGGATGAATAATGATGCCTTTTTGGCGACCTTGGCAAAGAAACAATTTGGTTTCCCAGTGCAGCCGATCCGCAGCAAATGCGTGTGAAAGCAGCACCCTGACCGCCAAATGAGGAGTATTTCTTAATAGTCAATTCTCATGTTCCAGCAAGCATTTTATCCTTGTATTATTCTGTTTTCTTTATTTTTCTTCCTCTTGAAGAAGTAAAATGTATACGAGGAAATTTTTGGCATTTAGGAAAGCCGTAATATTGGGCTACATGCCCTTTCCTAACAATTTTTATCTGCAGCATGATTATAAGCCAGTCAGTTGCATTAACTTCCTTTCTCCAACATATTCTTTTGACTGGTTTATAGGGAGTCGGCTGAGCTGCTCAAAGACACAGCTGGGGTTATGTCCTGCTGTAAACCAAGGACAAAATTCATGTCTCCTCTTAAATAGTAAATAAAAAAATAGAAAGAGTAAAGAAGAGGAAAATGAACAAGGACACAGGGGCAGTGAGTTGAGTATCCTCTGGTGCCTGCTGCACTGATTGTAAGGGCAAAATAACAACATTTTCACATGAATATGTGTGTCCCTGAAAATCTCTTTTAAGTAATAGATTACACTCATAGCAGCCAGAACATTAGTTGCGACAATCAATGAATAAATCTTCTCCACGCAGACACGGGTCATGTCTTGAAGACCTAGTATTCATTAATCCTATAATGTGGAATACGCTGTTGTTATCTGTTAGATCCCAGGATATTTTGGAATTCTTGTTCCTGAAAGTATTCTGCAACAGACAGCATCACGTATGATGCGAAGTACAGATAATTGCTTCAAAAAATACTTGAACTGCAGAACTTGAAGTGTTAAATAAAGGAATGATCTAGTGATTAATGCATCTATAAAATATACTGGCCCAGGGCAAAACTGTGAATCAGAATGAATAATTTGAAATGTGGGAAAAAAAGATGGAGTTGGGGAGAAGATATTAATTAAAAATCTCTGCTCTGAATCTGCTGCATGCACTGGGCATTTTACTGGGTTAATATTTTCAAAACAGTAAGGACCACAAGGCAAAAGTTTGGCTTCTAATTGCATCTCATTCCAAATTTGGGATGTATTTCCCTGTATATTTCCCTATAGCTTGAATCCAGAAAATGTCTGTGCTTTGTGACTTGCTCATGTTAAARCCCTTTTAAAAGTTAGAGCCGTGCTCACTTGTGTGACCTTTATTTAGCCCAGTCCTTATGCCAGGGCTGGCCAGGCTCTTGCAGGCAGGTTCTGGTAAATTCACTCCCAGTYGATCCCAGTGTAAAGCAGAACGTGTCGGGACTATCAGTGGGATTGAAGGCTGGGCTTTCTTGGAGCATATGCAGCCCAGTGCTAGTGCACGTGAGCAGGACCAGTCTGATGCTGTTTGCTGCTTGCTGGTGGGTGCAGGAGCACAGYGGTGGGTGCAATTAGCCTGACCTTCATCTTCGTCAGCCGCACACGGGAGTGACGGATGTTCCCATTAGCATTCCCACCCCGAGCTGTGACTAAGACCTCAGCTTTTGTCCTGGGGCCAGCTCCTGTTCTTGCTCATGTAGTTATGAGAAGAAGAAAGATAGGTACAAAACTGTGCCAAGAACACCTACTACTCTTTTTTTTTTTTCTACTTTTTTGGCTCTTTTTCACAAGCCTCAGTTAGCTCATGTGGTTTTATAGAGATTGGTTTAGAAAAAAAGGCACATAAGGTTCAAGCTAAGCCAGCTATAGGTGATTACAAAAGCAGTGAGGCGACAGTAGGAGAGAAGGGGACATTGAAGAGAGAATTCTTCTTAGGATGGACTGATGCAGTCTTGCAAAGCAGAAATATTTAAGCTTATAAGTCACTGGGCACTTGCCAGAAGTCCCAAAGCATCAGTGGTTTCTGCAGGCTGGGTGGATAACGAGCTGTCAGAGTCCCATGTCSCTGCAACGCCAGCCGTGTTCAACGATGTTCTGTCTCTCCAGGCTTCGCCTCCACGATGGGAAGCTCATTAAGGACAGACGTTACCACCTTCGGACGTACCCGAACTGCTTCGTGGCGAAGGAGCTCACAGACTGGCTGATCGACCACAAGGAAGCACCCGACAGAGAGACGGGCATCCGCCTCATGCAGAAGCTGATGGACCACTACATCATCCACCACGGTTTGTGGATTTTTTTGAGCTGCCCTTTAAGCCTCCCCAGAGAGAACATGTGAGTAGCTGGCCAAAACAGTGTTTATCGGTCAGACCAGGAAATGGGAGCAGTTAAGTCCCTGTTTTATGACCTTCCCATGGGTGAGTGCTCCCAGAGGAGCTYGAAGATTGCAGGCAAGTACAAGGCCCTACAAGGCCACAATTGCATCTCTGTTAAGTTGTAGTGCTTTGCAAGACACACCACAAACTTAAAAAAAAAAAAATACTAGGGCTATGTATTGGTAAAAAGACATTTCAAATGCTCACTTCAAAGCACATTCAGTTATATCTTACTTGTGCTCCCTACAGCAAATGCAGCCACCTAAACAGAGGTGGACACTTTTACAGCKACCAATCTTAGCTCACATTTGTATCATGCAGAAATGTAAGCTGAATGTTAGTGGATACTTTATGTATGCACCAAAGTTCATTTTTTTTTGCCATGCAAAAACAGTGTTCCTCGATTTCCCAGCATACACTTGAGTGGGAGAACTAGGAAGGGGGAGTCCGTGCTAGTCAGTGCAAAGTGTAATCCAATCCCTGTCAACTTGTGGCCAAAGCAATCCTGCAGGAATGTCTTTCTTGGAAATTAAATGGATGTGATGCTATTTTAAAARGCTTTGGTCAGATTCAGGTAGCCACTGCTGAAGTCTTCCTCTTCTCTTGGTTCTTGTATGATGCTGCTATGGGGAAAGAACAGCTTATTGTGGAGTCCTTGTGCATATCCACCCAAAGCTTTTCTGACAAGACCAGATGTTCAGCCAAGTCTGGGACAGTTTCCCTGCCTTGACCTTTCCTGCCTTTGACAACACATCTCCCACTCTGACAAGTAAGAGCAACAGTCCTTAAATAGGAAGGTCTTCAGTTTCCAGTGAAGATTTTTTTTTCATTTTCATCTTGTCAAGTTTTTTTTTTTTTTGTGTGGTTATATCAGGGTTTTCTGCCCAAAACCTTTTTGCTAAGGAAAGGAGAAAGTAAGTTTGTGAGCAGGAGTGGCTGAGCTCAGAGAGGAAACCTGCTTTATCCCTTGGCCCAGCTCTCTCCTGCAAACTTGCTTCCCAGTCTTCAGGACAAGAGCTGGGATAACCTGGTTGTTAGTTTGGTGGTTGGTAGTTTATTACAAGAGGTTGCAGCTGAGGAGACWGAAGGACATAATGCTCATATGAAATTCAACCTGATCTTCCTCCCTCTTCTACTGGGCGCAGAATAGTCTTTGTCTGCTGCAGTCCCAACATTCCCAGTTGCCATCTGGTGCTTGATGAGATTAATGCCCTTTACATTAAGGTGCCTTGAATAAAAATAAGCTCTGCTGCTGTGCTTTATCTCAGAAGAATAAAGGTGATGCAGTTAGTTCTTGGTTAACCATTAACACTTAAAACTGATTATTTTTCCRTCTTCCAAGTGATTTTTCCACAGCCAGGCTGTCAGGTTCAAATAAATCTATTAGTTGATTAAACTTAAGCAGCACTGAGTGCCAGTGCTGTTTTGGTTGCTTATCATGGATGCGTCCCTCCCGTTTCTTGTGATAATTCCTTGCAGAACATGAAAGTTGACTTTCTAACTCACCGTATGCCCATTGATTCTCATTAGTCCTACAGTAACCGGCCTGTTTGCTAACCCCAGCACTGTGCTAAGTGCTTTGCAGTTGGCTGGCCAAGCTGTTTGCACTCCTCTTTGTTGGGATCCAGAAGGCAATAATTAGCTCACAAAGATCGTTTTCTGTGCTGCTTCTTAATGGCCTGACGGGGTTTGAGCTGTTACTCTATGACATGCTGGAAACACATTCAGATTGGTCTTCGAAGAGGAAAAATAGTTTGGTTTTCCATTGGCTTTCCATGGGCTCAGTCCTGTAAGTCGTTCCCAAGAGAAATGTGAAAAGGAGGTTTTTCGTATTGAAGAGAAGACCTAGAGAAGAGCATCACACATAAACCTCTATACCTTTTAACCTAGAGATAACTAAAACTGCTGAGTTAGGGCTCTGTGTTTCTGTTCTCTGTGTGTTGACATCCAGCCCGTGCTGCCTGCACGCTGCAGCACTGAAGCGCCTTCTCCCAACTCCTCCTTTCAGTTTGCGACGAGCACTCAGACTACAAGGATGCCAAACTCTTATATCGTTTCCGCAAGGATGACGGGACCTTCCCCCTCAGTWAGGATGTGAAGGTGTTCATGAGAGGGCAGAGTCTTTATGAGAAGTAAGTGAGTCCTTTCCCTACAAAACAATTCTCAGCCAGAGCTTTGGAAATGCAGCCTGCTGGWTCTGCTGATGCTTTGCCCTGGAATCACTGCTCCAGCCAGCTTTTCTCTTCCTCTGGCTTTGTACCTCCTGCTGTAGCATCAGGATCTGCTGTTTTGAGACAAATTCCTACTTATCTAGGTGTTTACTCAGAAATGTTCCCTCTTTTTGATCAATTCTCTTTCAAAATCCAAATCATCTTCACAGACACCTAATAAGTCCTTAGTCTGGGTTCAGCCTCAAAGCTCTCTCTGGGTGTCTCCTTTAACAACCTCTTAATATTTTCTTGATCCTTTAACACATTGAAAACTCACAAATTAGCCCTGAGGGAGAACTCCTTGCTCAGGCAAGGAGATTTCTGCTGTGCCTTGCTGCCACGAGGGCGTCCCTTTGGCTTTGGCAGAGGAAATCGGACAGTGGAGAAAAGCATCTGACTCTTCTCATGGCTGAAGTCGCTGCTCCCTCTCGTGGATGCGCTGAATTTCGCTTCCATATAGGCAGCAAAGAGTGTGCTTGTCTTTACTGGACTGCATCTTCTACGTCAATTTGGATTAGCTGACATTTGGACATACAGTTTTGTTGCTTGTTTGCCTTTGCCCTGCAGTCCAGCTGAGCTGATTTTCCTGACGCTGCTTCCTCCTTGTGATGAAGACATACAAAGCAATCAGATTCGCRTAGAAAGTTGCATCTGCGCATTGCCCTCTCCCTTCCCTCTGATTCTAGACAAAAATATTTTGTCTAGAACAGTTTGCCTGCTTCTTTTGGGCTTGTTTTGGCTGGCTTCAGCTGCTGCTGAGCATCCTGTGCAGGTAGGYAGGGCTAGGAAGGGTCACTGGAGCCGTGTTCCGCTCTGTGCCAGGCTGATCAGTGTTGAAGATTCAATTCTGAAGGTGCGGGAGGAGAACTCTGTGAAGTACCAGAGGACCTTCTTGGGCTCCGAAATGATTGACTGGCTCATGCAGGAGGGAGAAGCAGCCAACCGAAAGGAAGCCGTGGAGCTGGGCCGGGCACTGCTGGAGCACGGGATCGTTCAGCACGGTGAGTGGAGGCTCACACCAAGCAGAAAGGGGCAGGAGAAGATGAGCAAGAGGGACGGGAGAAGATGAGCACAGTTGTCAGGGCTGTGCTAGGAACAAATCCCCATTCATGCAATGCAACAAGTGCTGGTTGAGTGCCCACTTGATATGGCAATGGGTCCATTTAGTTCTATGTCTGGAGTTTGTGACCCTTGAAATCAGAGCAGTCTGGCATCACCCACAAAGGCTTTGAGATGAGAGTCAAGTTATTTTTCTGCAGTTCTTCAAAGCCTTGGGCTAGAGGCCTGGGATCCTCCCTGGGTTTTGGAGGCTGTTTGTGAGGATGTGATGTGGAGATCACAATATTCTGCTGGAGCTGAACTTTCCATTCAAAAAGCATCAGGTCTTCTGAACACCTTGGGAAAGGGACAGCTTGAGGAGTGACAGTGGTCATGCCAGCTTCCCTGTGGGTAGCCATTGGGTTGATGTTCTCAAACAACTACAAAGATTAAAATGTAGCATAAAGATATTAAAAATAATTAACGTGGGCCCCTCAGGGTGTTTGCCATGTATTTTCTGCACACCTTCAGCCACTCTCCCCTCTTCTGTCCTCTGCCAGTGTCCAACAGGCATCACTTCTTTGACAGCAACATTCTCTATCAGTTCTGGATCAACTTTCGCCGGAGACGTCGTCTCACGGAGCTGCTCAGTGAAACCTCTTCTCGTGCTCTGTCCGAGAGCCCGGACAGTCCCTTCTGCCTGCGCAAGCTCAACCCGGACCCAGGCAACACGAGCTTCCTTTCTGGTAATTCCTGTGGCTCTGTTTGTGCAAGGATGCAAAAGCAAGACTGTCCCGGCCAGAGGAAACCTGGAATGTTGTTCCAGGTGTATGATGAAGTAACCACCCATCCCAAGCACTGGTTTGTGGTGGATATTCCAATTCAGTGGCGGTCTCTTCCCCTAGCTGCCTGTCCCAGGAAAATAACATCTCATGTCTCTAATATTACTATTTTTATTAGAGGCTCCCTGTCATATATAATTATTTCCTTTCCTGGAAGTCAGAGAGTTTCTATTTTGAAACAGGACATAAATGTGTCGGTCTTGAACCAGTTATCCCACACACCTCAAATTCCCTTAGACTCATGTGGGCCATCAGGAGCCAGGAATACCAGCCTGGCATGGGAATGCCAGTAAGCAGGAGGGACAAACAAACACAAACAAACTCAGGGGTGTGTGTATGTGTGTATGTGTGTGTGACTTTTAAGAGCTAGAAATTTGATTCCTGTCTTTTTATTTACATGAACAGAAAAGAAATTGATTCAGACACAGACTATTCCCTAATTTATGCAGAGCTTGCTTAGCCTCAAAAACAGGGCAGAAAGTTTGTATTTAAAATTTCACTATGCCACACTACATTGCTTTTTATCCCTGAAATCTCTTATTTAAGGCTAGTTTTATACTATTTTATACTTCCACCTTCAGTGCATGTTTTCCCTTCAGATAAGGGCCAGGCTGATAGAGTAATTTTGTTATTTTAGGCTTATTTATTCCTTCCTTAGGTATTTTTTTTTCTGGCTTCTTTCAGTCCAACCCAACAAGGAGATTAAAATTGTCTCAGCAGTTCGAAGGAGCAGCATCACTTCCCTGGCTGGAAACTCCAACCCTTACTTCAGTGCTGCTCCTATATTGGTCTTCCCTCCCGCGGCTGAGTGCAACCCCAAATCAGGTCAGAGCTTCTGCATTGCCTTGTTATTGCATTAGACATGTCCACATCTCTGGGATATGGGCTGGCTCAGGCCTTACGAGCAAACCTATCCACGAACTACTTGGCAATGTGCAAGGGAGGAGGGTCAACCTCATCTCTGGGGCTTGATTTGAAAAGTTGTACAATTATCTTAGGGGGAAAGAAAGTTGAATTCAAAGATTTCWATGTGCAGTAATTGTAGCTGGCTCTACCATCTGTTCCTCAGCCTATGGTAATCCCCACGCTTGCTATTAAGCACTTTACTGTATGAAAGCCTTGATTCTGATAGGATCTGTCACCTTCCTCTCTAGTGTTAAAGAGACCAGTCACCAATGAAGAGCTCCTGTCCCCTGGGGCCCCCTACATCAAGAAAACACTAACTGTAAGTGATCACTCTGAGCAGTATTGCTAATMTAAGAGCCTGGACTCTGTGACCACTCTTTACTAGCTTCGTGTCTGTTGCTGTGAGCTCTGTGTGTTGAAACTTTGATTGCATGTCACATCGTCACACTTAGCTAACATGATGCCTTTCAGTGGGTCAATGTCTGCAGCCATCCTGGGGTGAAACTGGTTTTCACTCTCTGCATCCCCTGCTTTCATTTCATGTATATCAAAAATAGGTAGAATCAGGAAAGAGAACATTTCCTGCCCAGGAAAAGTCCTATTTGTATTTCACCAGGCTCCAGGCAAACTGAAGATTCAGTCAAGTCTTGTGACAGCTGAGGCYTTGATATCCCTTATCCTCTCAGTCACAAAGATGTCACCTTTCTGTGCAGTTTTATGGATTTTTGGCTTTGTGCTACAGACCAGATTGGGAGGCATCACTAGGTTTCTGAAGAAAAAGGGTTGTAGGGAACAGAAGTGAAAGAGGAGCATTTGAGATTCACAATACCCTGCAAAATCTTCAGGATGCTGCAAAAACCCTTAGTTTGGGGCTTTTATTCTTCTAAAGATGTAGAACCTGATAGCTCCAGTCAGTCCAAGCAGAGCTATTGAGTGCTGCCCTCTGGATCCTATCACACTTGTTTATTTTTGTGTAAATGATCATTCGRCCAGAATTGCCACACTCCCTATTTTTCAGACTTTTCCTATCCCGCTCCATGAGGGGAAATTCCATACGGCCAGTTCAGGAAGCCTGCTGCCTCTCTTGCCTTACTGGTTTGCTGCAAGAGAGGTTACAGAAGGGAAGGGCTGTGGATCAAGTCTGAGCACATGCCATTCCTTCGCCTCCAGAACGCTCTTGCCCTGCCCTTCAACTCTGCCAGGCTGGGCTTTTCATGGCTCATTTCCTTCTGCTTAGCTCTGCAGTTGCTTTTATTTGTTTATATGGGTAATATGCAGAGTGCTTTGAGAGTTTGTTTTCCCTTTAAGTCACATCAGATGGCCAACGTATCGCGGCAAACTGCTTTGACAAGCTGAGATCAGAGCGGGAAAAGTTCAAAGAGTGGATATTTCCATCCTGGAAATGCTGTCCTGTGCCAGGAAAAAAAGGCAAACACTCYGTGTGCGTTCTCTAGAAATGTTCTGCACATGGTCTTAGTGCACGTCATGCATTTAATGTCATGTTGCCTGTGCTTCGTTATTCTGTTCTTGCTGGCATGGCATGTTAATCAGAAAGCAGCTTTACAGATAGCAAATAATTTTGCATCTCTTGTGACACACATGCTGGGCATGTTCCATCATGCTCTGCCAAATGATGCTAGTGTAGTATCAGAGAAGACCTGGAGGATTAAATAGTTCTTAAAAATCTGTGTTTTGCCCAAATATAGCAAGACACTGAACAAGCTAAGGAGAAATATTGACTATACCTGCAAATAGAGAAATAAACGACAACCTCAAAAAGTAAAAGCAAAAACTTAATCTCTACCCACAGTTGAACATGAGACAAGAGGAAAATGGAAGGGCAGTTTTATTGTCAAGGGTGCTCTCTGAAGCACTGCACTGGTGCAGGTAAATGAGAATAAAATTCTCCGCCAGAATAAAAAGAGAGAGAGATGGAAGAACTCTCCTAGAAACCGGGATTCCCAGGAGGAATCAGTGCCCAGCTGCCATGCTGAGATCTGTCAGAGATTTATGATGCACAGCTATGGAAGTCTCGCTAATTCCCAAGGGTGACCTCCTCCACCTGAGAGACTGAGAAAGAGCTGACACTGTTGCTAGCAGAGCTGGAAGGAGAACATAAGGATCCTTTTCTTTCTGCTTTGCTGGTCCTTGAGCCAAACCATTCTGTTTTTCTCCCACCAATCTTGGAGATAATGATCTTGAGAAGAATTCACACCATAGAGTTGTGTGCTGGTGCTGCATTTGGAATTGGGGAGCAGGTCATTGCTTGGTGGGCAGGTGGGATGTTCACTTGTGGAAGTGTTTAAGCTAATCAGGTAACCTTAGCTTCAGCACTGCAGAATCTCTTCCAGAGAAGAAGAAAAAGCCTTTTTTTTGTTGTTTTTAAAGCCCTTTTGTTCTGTTTGTAGATTGTGGGGGATGCTGTGGGCTGGGGGTTTGTGGTCCGAGGAGGAAGACCTTGCCACATCCAAGCAGTGGACCCGGGAGGACCTGCTGCTGCTGCAGGGATGAAGGTACTTCTTCATCACGGTAACTTAACACGAGAGAGGACATTCGTCCTGCTTGAGCTTCCCAGGCTGCAAACATCCTCTGTGATAATGCCACCAGCTGCAACAGGGATAAATCTGGTCACGTCAGAGGAAGCTTCGGTGACAATGTGGGAGGCAGAGTGAAAGACATGCTGTCCTGCAGGCAAAACGTGCTACGTGGGTCTTCCTGGCTGGGGCTTGTCTTCTGCCCGAGCAGTTCAAAGGCTGGGCAGCTAAAAGGGCCAAAATAAGCTGTCCTGTGGCAAACTTTATAGCTACTCAAGTTCTGTTTTAGTACTAAAAGCAGGAATTCCCACTTCAGTTATATACAGTGACTAGAGCTGAAGTGAAGCAGGGAAGGAGCAGAGCTTTATCACGAGTCGTTCGCTCTTGCCACTCCTGCAGTGTCATGTATTTGTGTTCATCTGCTATTAACAGCATTGCTCTGTGCAGAACTGCTTTTTCTTTCTTGTTTATATCCAGGAAAGCTGAATGATTTTAGATTGATAATTTCCCCTTGATTTGTCTAGTAATCTGCAGGATTTCCAGCTCAGGTGAAATGAACTGAGGTCTTGATAATCATTGTAGACCAACGTATGGGCTACAGATAACAGTTTTACGAGCAGGTGAAGGAAACATAGAGTTTCACAGATCCACTATAAAAATCTTAGCAGTGAGGGGAGTCATTTCAGCAAACTGATATAACTATAAAATCATTTGGATATTTTAAAAAAGTGGTTCTTCAGAGGAAGAGTTTGTGACTGCTTGTTTGCTTCAGGCAGGATTGGGAATTGGTGAATTTGTTTCATTTACTCAGGAGCCCAGCTCATCTCTCCCCTTCTAATCTCATTTGCTACCAAACTGCCAAATATTAATATAGTGCCTCATTTCCATCTGCAAAATCAAGCACTGCTCACAAATGAGTCTTTTTGCTTTCTGTTAGCTCACTGTCTAAATCCCTTTTGTCCCTTTTTATGATGCAGTGATTGTAGCACAGTGATTATTGGTGTAACTGATAGAGCAGTGATGCTTTCTGGTTTGTGGGATTCTGTAGCAAGTCACTTGCATCGCAAAGGTTGGCTCTAGATAGTCACGAGCAGCGTTGCCTCCATGCATCAGTCGAAGGTAACCAGCCSTTCGTCTCCTTGCAGGTGTGTCAGTTTGTTTTCTCTGTGAACGGCATGTGTGTTTTGCACTTGGACTATCAGACCATCAGCAGCCTCATCATGACAGGACCACGAACTCTGGTCATGGAAGTCATGGAAGCTGTTGAATGAATGAAGGAGTCTCTCGTCCCACCGCTGTTTGGAAAAGCAGGACACTTCTCAAAAGAACGATGGACCATGGGAAGGGACCAGGCACAACCTTTCACTCAGATTTTAACCAGGCATTTTAATATATTTTCCAATAAAAACATTCTAATAGACAAGTCTGGGATGTCGATGATGAAATATTTGGCTATACCTGCTTTTGAGAGGGTCTAAACTCTCACAGTTCTTTTTAATGCCAGTGAGAGAGTTGAGCACATCTTGAAGCCAAGTCCTTAGCACACAGGATTCTTTCCCCCAGCCAAGCAGCAAGTCAGGTAGCACAAACTGGTGAGTATGAAGGGTTGCTACCAAGGAAGGGAGCATGACTGAGCTCCTTTGAGTGCCAAGAGCACAACACGTTCTCCAGATGGTCTGGTAAGTCACACCATCAATTGTATCAAGGAAAGAAGGAGATGAATGCAAGGATGAGTTACTTTGCAAAGAAAGTCCAAGGCTTCTGCTACTCTTGGCTCAGCCTCACTTCCAGCTAGGAGTGGTCGTTTTCTTTTCTAGTTGAGATTCTTGAAGAAATCAGAGACTTCTGTGATCGTAATCTTCACCCCCGTGATGCCCCACACTCTCAAACAACTGCTTAAATTCATTAGCCAGTCTCAGTATGGAGCAGAGCAGAGGTCTGGAAGGTTTTAGGCTAGTACSAAGCTCGGGGAAAGGAGAGCCGCTAAATACTGTCTGCCCAAGGGGCAGTCCGAGTTCCGCAGTATTACTGGGCACTAGGAAATCCAAGCAGGATGGAACAGATACAAGCGAAASCTGCCCAAAACGAGGCCTCCCAAGCCGTACTGCTCCCAGAATGACTTCATTTAAAGGCAATACASAATATTCCTATGCAGCCTACCCCGCGAGTGATTCAAGTGTAGAGTAACAGGTAATAACAAGAAAACGGGGAGGTTTCTTGCTTTCCAGTTCACAGAGCATCCTGCTCATGGTGCATTCGGCAGGATGATTTCCAGCACTCCTGCTTGGGGCAGGTCCCTGAATGCAGCTCTGTTGGCTGCCAGCCAAGTCTTAAAAAAAATATAAAAAATCTGGTCTCTTAATTTGTGTTAAAAATCTGCTTATTAGGTGTTGTTACTTTACTGCTGGTTGCTGCCTTTTCCTTGGTGTCAAGGGATACTTGCTCTCCTAGTGCTGCTGCAGAGGTAAGAATCCTGTTTACAGGGGTGTTCCTGGAACATGGTCCAAGCGAGATATTTGAGTTGATAATCCACTTCCAGGCCCTGTGGGAAAGCAAACAATCTTTTAAGCGATTTGTCAACATGCAAGTGYTATTTTCCAGGCATTCGGTGCCCAAGGAAAGCAAAGCGTATCTCTGTTTGCTTTTTAATTTCAGTTTTGTGCTGCTCTCTTTGTTTTTGTGATGGCACCAAGGTTTACTCTGGAGCACTGGGCTTGGACTAAAGCAAGGCAAAGCCAGGGGACTGCACAGAGTGATTTAGGTACCTTGGGAAGAGCAGAGCATAAAGCAAACTGACATAAACAGAGCAGGAATTTTGTGTCTGTGTTTAAACTTGAAATCAAAAACCTGAAAATCAAATGCAGGAGATAAGTGGTCTTTCCTTTCTCAGCTCTTKCTACAACAGCACAAGTTGTAAATTGTGGCAAATCTAAGCAACTGTTAAAATGCAACAGGAATTGCAGTAASAGTAATTTGTGATATTTAAATGTAAGGTAGTAACAGTTCTGTTTCCACAGACTACACAGCACTCTGTATTTTGCTTTAACCCAATTAACAAGATTGTTTTGCTTTCATGTTCTCTTTGACTTGTAGATTATGGTGCCTTTAAATACTTACRTATAATGCAAAAGTTGCAGGGAAGTGCATAATGTTTGTTTTATTGGGGACGTATTTAAAAACCCTACATATTTAGAAACTATCATCTCCCCATCCAATCTGTCAGTTTAAGAAGTGTCTCTGTTTCCTGCAGAACAGTAACTGAGACTTTTGTGCATCTCGTCATGGCGCAGCTCGAGAGCGATGCTGTCATCCCCGGATCCTGCTGACAATCTGGTCTCCAGTGATACTGAGGAATGCCCCTGTCAGTTGTTCCACTGTTGGCAACGAGGAGAAAATCTCCCCCAAAAAAGCGTTTTGGCCGCGGGCTGGGCGGCTCTTGGGGCTCTCCTGGGGCTGGGGAGCTCRCGCGAGCGGAGGGCAGAGCTGCACCGAGCAGCTGGGAAGCCCCCAGCAGCAGCACGGGCTCCAGTGCGTGATCCTGGCCTCGCAGAACACGCAGATGTGCCTCATTTCCTAAAACAGCTGCGGTGGTGTCCGCCCGGGCGGCCAGAAACCTTTCATGGGATGGGAATRTGGCCAGCGTGACTTTATTCCCCAGAGTATAACCGGGGGGTGGGAATCGTGACTTTTTGCTGCGCTCTAGGAAATCAGTATACAGTTTCCAATATAGGAGTTTAGTGCTTGATTCCTCCTAGAAAACACAGTAAAAGCTGTTTGCTGTGTTTCACAGCAACGGGCTCTTCCTCTTATTTCTTTTTTTTTTTCCTGGGCTTTATTTAGCCGCGTGCAGCAGGCCGTGCGTAGAGCTCTGCTCCCTGCGACGTGGTGAGGAGGAGGTGGGGGAAWCGCTGTCCCTCTCCCCCTCATCTCCCTCCCCTTCCTCCCCTTTCCTAGCTGGGCTGGGAATCTCCCCGAGCGCCCGGAGAAGCAGCCACGGAGCCGGCTTCTTCTCTCGCAATTCAAGAATGTAGCTGGATTCTGCCCACCTCCCRACTGACTTCAGGGAACAGAGTAAAGGTTTGTGCCTGGATCCCCTTTGGGGACTGAGTTGGCCTGGGTGGCCTGGGGCTCTGGGCTAGGGGGCTGCGAGGTTTGGGGKATGTTTCTGCGTTGGCAGAACAGGCAACTTTTGCAAACTTTTGAAATAGGAGAGACTTTGGGCCAGTGCAACGGGGCAGCTCGGCACAGGGTGGCACCTCYGATGTCACCTAAGGAAGGCAGGTCCTGCAAGTCTCATCCTTYCAAGATGATTTAGCCTCCAGACTCAGTGGAGATGAGGTCTAAGCATCACCAGAATGGCTGTTATAGACAGTGGTAATTCTTGCAGAGTGATGGCTGTGAGAAATTGGAATTTCACTGGTGCTTTTATTCRTTTTCCATAGGGGGTTAATAGGTAAAACCTGGGGGAAATTTCAGGAGAAAAAGRACAGTAATTGGATCAGCTTGCGAGCTTATGGCTGTGATAGCAGTTGTTGGGGTTGTGTTTTCCCACCTGTAGCCGTGCTGTGTGTCTGCATGGAGCCCGCTGTGAAGCCTGTCTGGGATGAGGTGAGCTACAAATGCTCAGCCCCAAAGTGCACCGTGTGCTTTAGTCTTCAGGTGAGGACTGAGATCATTGGGGATTTTAGTTCAATCCAAGCCAGCAAAGTTTTGTCTGAGCAGCCGGAGCGAAAGCTTTGTGGAGTGTGAAGAAAGAGTTTGCTGAACMAGTTTTTATCTGTTCTAGTTCCTTCCACTAGCAAATAATTCAGGGAGGATGGGATGGATTTATTGGAGAGGAAGGGACCACGGCCACTCAGGTTGGGACTTGGGATGTAGCAGGTATCCTTTGGAGCAGAAAATATTGCAGGAATGGGGAAACCAGCCATGTACCTGCAACCGCTTGAAACACTTGCATCTTTTTCCATCCCTGCTTCACATTTAGGAAAATAAGACTTGGAGGAGAAGCAGAGTATCTGTGGGCTTCTCTGTGAGCTAGGAAGGAAACATCAAGCCCATGTGCCTTGCCTTAGCTGCARTGCTGTAGGAGGAAAGATTTATGTTCTCTGGAACCTACTTGGCCCAATCTGAATTAATAGTGAATTCTTCCWTATTGACATCAGCGGTGGAAGCTGAGGGCTGAGTCAGATTCTGCAGTCAGCCCAGTTCAGTGCTGGTTGGAGAAGTCTGTGCATTCTTTTTGCTGGACTTTGGACTGTATGTAGCACTTGCTAATATGGAAAGGGCACATGCAACGCAGTGTTTTTGCCTGCAGCTGGCATCCTGTTTGCCAGCAGAGCTGCCAGAAATTACAAGAAATTAAGAGCAAATTTGGTGGCCGTGCAAAATGACAAGAACAATGCAAAATGACAAAAATAAATGTTACTGTTGATTCAAGARATTTTTCAAAAATGCAGACTTCTCTCTGTTGCTCAGCCCAAGTGCCTGCACGACAAGGGCGAACTTTGCTTTTCTGAGTATCGTCATCAGATTCCTACCASCTACCTGTAAAATATTTGCTGTTTTTTATAAGCAATGACTTAATGTTATTAGCTGGGGAAAAAAAAGGTACGTGGTTCCCGTGGCAAAAGGCTACTGTTACAGTGCAGTTGTTCCCTATAACTTGATCTTCAATCAAAGGAAAAAAAAAGTCCTCCAACAGAGTATGTTGTGTGTATATGTGTATGGGGGTAGGGTGTTAATATCTGTCCGTTATAACTTGCATGTTTTTCCGTTTAATGTTACAACATTTTAGAGCTCTTTACTTAAAAATAGGAGATCATTCACTTGCATATATGCTTTTCCATTTAATCATTGAAAAGTTGGCATATTTGATGGGAAATAGGCATTTGCCAAGAGCTTCTGAATACCTGTCTGTCAAGAWGAATGAAATGCAACAGCAGACTGCAATGGAAGGAACTCGTGTACAGCCTGGTCCTGCCAAAAGCAATAAGGCTGAGCAGGGTAGCMCAAGAATGACAGATGCCAAAGATGMGTTGCAMAAGGCCACCAGCCTATGTTTTAAACGCAGCRTATTGAGACTGAGACAAGGCGGAGGCACCGTTTGCATCAGCTAGGGTGGTTTTATGCTGGTGTAACCTTGAGCCTGACTGAGGACAGGTTACATCCGGGCCAGTTAAAGATTAAAGGACTTCCTTTGAAGTCAGTGAGATGTAAACTGAGTGATGGGTGTCTGTTCTTAAGATAACGAGCCCTGGAAATGCTACAGAGATTAATTTTTGGACAGGAGTGATTCACCTGATGAGATTGAGTTTGTAATAATTACTTATGTATGTAATAATTACTTATGTAATAAGTACTTATGTACTTATGTCTTACTTGAAAGAGAAGTTGTTCTGGAATCTTTAGCCATTGTAC